CCTGGCGCTGGGAGGGGGTCTACCTAGGGAGGACCTGGGGCGAGAAAGAGCGGCGGGGGGGGGCGAGGAGCAGTGCGGTAGGGGAAGAGGCGGTAAAAGGGGACCGACTCGTCAAAGGTGACGTCCTGAGACGCAAAGACACGGCGCGAGGCGGGGTCGTCGAACTGCCAGCCAGGCGCGTCAGGGACAAAGCCAAGGAAGACGCAAGGAATGGCGCGAGGGGAGAGCTTGTCCGCGGTGGTATCGCGGACAAAGGCACGAGCACACCAGACCCGGAAACGCGACGTGTCGCCAACCTTCCCCGTCCACAGCAGTGTGGGCGAGGTCTCCGGCAAGGAGACACGGGGCCAAAGGTTGAGCTGATGCGCGGCGTACTGGAGCGCAAAAGGCCACAGAAAATGGGGGGCAGCCGCATGGATCATGGAGGTACGAGCGACCTCCATGACTAAGCCAATGCGGCGCTTAGCAACCCCATTCTGCTGCGGAGAGGCCGGAAGCGTGAAAGTCTGGTGGATGCCGTGCTCCGCACAGAAGGCTGCCAAGAGGTCTGAGGAGAACTCACCACCTCTGTCCGAGTGCAGACGCAGGACAGGAAAGTCCGACTGGAACCGCTCGCGGAGCTGGAGACGAGTAGCGCGGATCCAGGGGATCAAAACATCAGGGACATCCCCCTTGCGCTGCAAGGGGAAGACCGTGGTGTAGCGCGCGTAGTCGTCGACAACCAGCAGGAAGTACCGCTCGTGGCCCTGTCCACGGACGCGGGCTGGGCCCCACACGTCCAGGTGGAGAGTCTGCAATGGAGCCTCTGTGGGAGGGAACGAGGAGGAGTGAGGAGCGGCGCGCTGCCGCCCCTCGACGCAGGGAATGCAGGGCGGCGCATGCGAGGGAGGGAGGGGAGGCAGAGACCTGGGAAGCCCAGAAACCAGGAGGCGGGAGTGCATGCTGCGTAGGCGAGGCAGGGAGGGGTGACCAAGGTGGTGGTGCCACAGGAGAGTGTCGTGCGACAGCCGGCGACACTCACACTGTGTAGCTACCTGAGCAGACGCGTGCAACTGGGGAGACAAAGGGGCGGAGCGTGACGCAGTGGTGAGGGTGTAAAGACTGGACCCCGGCGCACGAGCGAACGTGGCCAGGTGGCGACCAGTCTGGGAGCACGTGCAAATCGACACACGCATCCTGGAGGACAGCGTTACTCACCAAGTTCGTAGAGAACGAGGGGAGGTGGAGACCAGACAGCTCACCAGACGGGACCGCCGGACACGGAAGCACAATGGAAGACCGTGCAAGCACTGGGCCCCCAGAGGGGTCAGCCAGTGAGACAGGAACAGGTGCGGGGAGGGGAGTGACTGTGGTACTGTCGCGAAAGAAACAGCGGGAAGCACCAGAGTCAAGTGTAAAGGTGTGCAAAGCCTGTGCAGGCGCAGTACCAAGGGGAGCAGACTCACAAGCACCTAGTGCTGCAGGGGCTATACCAGGGGTTATACCAGGATCCGGCGGTACACACAAGTAGCAGTCACCCTCAGCACTAACAGACAAGGCATACATAGCAGCAAGAATTGCCTCATAGTCAAGATCAAAGATAGGTACATCACTCCTAAGTAAGTCTGCCCAGTTGTGGAACTCAGTAGCATCAGGAAACTTGGCGCGCCAGGCGTCGCTAAGCCGAGCGAAGCAGCGCTGCTCAGTGTGGAAGCCTGTGCACTGGCGACCAGCGCGGGGACCTGTGCGGATGATATAGGGGCAGCGACCAGGACCCCCAGAAGCCCCACGCCCGGCATACCAGTCAAGAAGTTGCTGGGAAGTGGGGGTCTGGCGCTGACGCTGATGCTGCTGCTGCTGGTGCTGCTGCTGCTGCGGCTGCTGCTGGCCCTGACCACCAATGCCACTACCGCTCCCTCCTCCCCCACCGCCGCTGCTGCCGCCTCCACCGCTCCCAGTGCCTCCGCCGCCCCCACCACCACCTCCACCGCCTCCACCCCCACGACCACCCCCACCACCTCCACCTCCCCCGCCGCCTGCACCACTGCCACCTCCACCGCCACCCCCACCGCCCCTGCCACCCCTGCCGCCCCTGCCGCTGCGACGCTTCCCACTGGGAGCGGAAGCACCTCCAACCCCCTCAGCACCAAGGTAGTCGTGAGCAGCAGCTGCGGAGGCGTAGGAGGGGGTGAGAGGGGAGGGGGAGCACCCCTCAAAGAGGGGAGAGCGAGGAGTGCCACGAGCAGCACCTACAGCGAGGATGTTCTTCTCTGCTGCGAGGAGGTGCTTCTCGAAGTCGTCTACAGTGAGAGTGGTGGGGTCTAGCGCTAGGAAGTGGTCCCTGACAGAGCTAAGAGTGTCAGGGAGGCGGGTGACGAGGAAATAGAGAGTGAAGTACATCGGGGGGGGGGGGGGGTTGCGGCGCAGAACTCGGCTGAAAGGGCGGCACGAAAGCGAGAGTCAGTAGCGCGCAGGTGAGAAACTAGGTCCTCAGCAGTGGTGAACGAGGAAAGATCGGGGAACAGGTACGGTAGCATGAGTCGACCTATGGCTGCAGTGGCCGGGGAGGAGTAGCGCGCAACCACAGCGTCGTATAGTGTCTTAGCAATTCTGTGCTGGCTGAAATGCGCTCGCTCAGTAATCGGCAGGTGGTTCCTAATAGCTAGGCGTGCAGCAGCATCACGAGTCTGCCACTGGGAGCGATCTAGAGCAGGAGCATCAGCAGCAGGAGCAACAGCAGTGCCAGAGACTTAATCAAACAGGGAAACGCCATCTTTGGCATCAGTCAGAAGGAACAGCTGGAGATCGTCTAACCATACAGTGAACTCGATGGGACGACCGTCAGGCTCGAACGCTAGAACGTTAGGCGTCGCCATATTGGCTTAAGGCAGGAGGCAGCAGGCAGCAGGCAGTAGGCAGAGGCAGCAAGCACCAGGTAGGAGGCAGGAGGCAGAGGCAGGAGGCAGGGGCAGCAAGCAGCAGGCAGGCAGCAGGCAAGCTGCAGGCAGGCGGCAGCAGGCAGCAAGCAGGCAGGCAGGCAGGCGGCAGGTAGGAGGCAGCAGGCAGCAAGCAGGCAGGCAGCAGCAGGCAGCAAGTAGCAGGCAGGAAGCAGGCAGGCAGCAGGCAGGCTGCAGGCAGGCGGCAGCAGGCAGCAAGCAGGCAGGCAGGCAGGCTGCAGGCAGCAAGCAGGCAGGCGGCAGCAGGCAGGCAGCAGGCAGGCTGCAGGCAGGCGGCAGGCAGGCGGCAGCAGGCAGCAAGTAGCAGGCAGGCAGCAGGCAGCAAGTAGCAGGCAGGCAGCAGGCAGGCAGCAGGCAGGCTACAGGCAGGCGGCAGCAGGCAGCAAGCAGGCAGGCAGGCAGGCTGTAGGCAGCAAGCAGCAGGCAGGCAGCAGGCAGGCAGCAGGCAGGCTGCAGGCAGGCGGCAGCAGGCAGCAAGCAGGCAGGCAGGCAGGCTGCAGGCAGCAAGCAGGCAGGCGGCAGCAGGCAGCAAGCAGCAGGCAGGCAGGATGCAGGCAGCAGGCAGGCTACAGGCAGGCGGCAGCAGGCAGCAAGCAGGCAGGCAGGCAGGCTGTAGGCAGCAAGCAGGCAGGCAGGCAGGCTGCAGGCAGCAAGCAGGCAGGCGGCAGCAGGCAGCAAGCAGCAGGCAGGCAGCAGGCAGCAAGCAGCAGGCAGGCGGCAGCAGGCAGCAGGCAGGAGCGGCCTGAGGGCTGCGTGAGGCTGCTGGCTGCGTTAGGCGGCTTGCTGCACGAGGCTGCAGGCTGCGCGTGGCTACGGGCAGCGCGCGCGGCCGCAGGCTACGTGCGGCGACGGACTGCGCGGGCTGCGGGCTGCTTGCAGCTGCGGGCTGTGCGTGGCTACAGGCAGCGTGCGCGGCTGCAATCTACGTGCGGCTGCGGGCTGCGCTGGGCGACGGGCCGCACGTGCGCGGCTGCGGGCTGGTCGCTAAGCTACGGGCTACGCTGGGCGACGGGCCGCGCTGGCGTGGCCTAATCAGGTTTCGCGCGGGCGGCTTAAGGGGCGCACAGGCGGGGCCGAAACGGGCTACGCGGGCTGCTGAGACGGCACACGTGGGAAAAAAAAAGGACCGCCCGAGGCGCGCGCGGGCAGCCGAGGCGCGCGTAGGCACTAGACAAGACAGGCAATCGTGGTGGGCCCTAATCCTAGGTCCTAAGGACCTATGCTCTATACCATGTTAGAATCTTACGAGAGAAAAGTGGTTTCGACTATCGAGGGGGTTGGTACAAAGTGAGAACCCAAGGGGTTGTACCCCACAGTAAGTACCCCACTAAGCCTACCCAAACTACAACATATATATACATATGTTTGACACTTGTTGGCTGTCTTACCCACAGGATTGCCAACGCACCCCTGCATCGAGCCAAACCACGCCACAGCCACTACCAGGTGAGCAGAGTCGCGTGTCAAGAACAGCTTCTTGCTGTCCTACGCACCAACTGAGCAGTTGTGATGTTTGTGCAACCTTATTAATACTGAAGAAATTACGTAACAGACAAAGTAGTATTGGAAACAGTCTATATGTAGAAATACCCTGCTCAAATCAGGCTACCATGGCGAAATCCTTGATTTACCCTGATGCAAACAGGGTATGGAAATTTTTACACAACGTGTCAAGGTAAAGAGGAGCTGCAACCCTGATTTGTCAGGGTGGGCCTAAACCAATTTTGGGCCCTGCTTCAAGGATGTGGAAATGTGTGTCCAATATTTCATCTTGAACATGCTTCTTAAATAAATGGTCTGTACTTCTGGGTGCACGGAGCACAGATGGAAATTGGGTATGGATGGGGACAAGCCTACCTACTTTGTATAGCCAAGCCTGACCCTTTGCTCTCCCCAGCGAAAAAAATAGCATGTCAAGACAGAATTGAACACGTCTTGCATGTGCATTCACAGACTCGAATCGTAGTCATGTGCACCATGTAACAGAACATCGATGGATATGTTATGTGGGTGGGTTGGGTGGGTAACTCAGTAACCATGACAAGGCGGCCTCCTCTTTCGAGCCTAACCTGACCGCTTTGCTCTCATCAGCACAGCCACCCCCACCCCAACGGCACAGGCAGCAATAGCTGGCAGTGCAACAGCTGCCGCTGCTCGAGAGAAGGACCAATCAGAGGCGGAGGAAGAAGAGAGCGAGTAGTGACAGTGGTGGGGGTGGGAGGAGCGGAGGCGAGCAGAGGAGGAACCGTCAGAGTCTAGTGAGTCCCGAAGGAGGCGACTCAACGAATCGAGCTGGAAAATTAAGATTGGTTGGAAAAGAGGGGGGGAGAAACAGTGACTACGGTCAGAAATTTAGGGAAAGGAGGAAGATGGACGAGGGAAGGGTGGGTGGGGGAAGGGGACGAAGACATTAGAGCACAGGAATTTGAGTAGGTAAGGCCCGAGTGTGAGTAAACCGAACAATCCAATGGCAATGCAGGGGAACAGAACAAAAACAAGAACAAACAAACAAACAGACCGTGCCACCTGAAATCCCTGAACCATCACAGCAGATCAGACTGAACTGAACCAAGGCTTGACCCCCACCTCAGATGCTAGCCTTCTTTGGTTGCTGGCAATCTCCTTCACCTCTACCACCAGCGCCGCCGCTGCTGATCCTGGTGCTGCTGCCCCTCGCCCCTCTGCACCGCTCCCAACCCCATTCATCACATTCACATCGTAACACTGACTGTTACCACTCACACCCAATGCAGCACCATTCATCATGCCAATCACACCACCCCCTGCAGCAGCAGCAGCAGTAGACACAGGAGTGAGCCTGCCACCCCCACCACTCCCACCCTTACCACCACTCCCTCCACCACTCCCCCCACTACCTCCACCTCCATTCCTCCGCTCCACCGCATTCCCTGTCCCTATATCAATCGGCCCTGCCAGCTCTCCTCTACTCCCGTTCTTCCCTCCCAGCATCCCATTCCCCCCTGACACCAGCTGGCTGGTCAACGCTGATGTGGCAGGACTTAATTGGATGTTGCTGCTGCCACCATTCCCTACCACACCCCCATTACCGCTTCCAGACCCCGCCGGTCCGGCCGAAGCAAGATCTAATCGCGAAAGCAGCTCGTCCAATCGGTCGGTGACATGTGTCAGCTGCTCAGAGATCCGCTCCTGGGATTGAACCAGGGACGTCACTCTCCCTGCTTCCCCCGATCCTCCTCCCTCCACTCCTTCCTCCTCCCCAACCCCTACATGACCCATATTTCGACTCCTGCTGCCACTACCATTCCCACCCCCTCCTCTCCTGCTGCTCCCCCCGTCTCCTGTACTATCCGCATGCCTCCCCACCCCACCCGCTCCCTCCCCGTCCCCTTCCCGCCTGTGTCGCCTTGAGGGTGTGTCGTTAGCAGAGGTAGTGGGGGAGGCCTCGAGTCTGTCCGGAGAGGCGTTGATTCGCCCGCCCTGCCGGTCCTTGCTCCAGTTGCTGGGGTGGGGATGGGATGCCATGGAATGAGAGGGAAGGTGCGTGTTAAGGGACAATATAGGGAGAACAAGAATTCATGACCGGTCACTGTGTAGTCTTGTGTAGCCGAAGGTCCAGGAGGAGGGGACAAGAGGGGGAGCGAGGGAGGAGGAGAAACAGAACAGCACAGGTTCTGAAGAGTGTTCGAAGAGGAGGAGAGCAAAAAACGGAAACACACGATTGGTCGAACTTGTGGCCAAGAGTCCACGAGGAGGACACAAGAGGAGGGGTGAGGGAGGAGGAGAGTGGGGTACCGCCCATGGGACTCCCAGACGGCAGCAGGTGATCAGCCACTCTGAACTGCTCCTTGAGCACACTCTCGGCTAAAAAGCTGTGACACTCTCTTCTGACACTCTTGCTGAAAGTTGAAAGAGAGGGAGAAGGAGCCACGAGGAGTACAGAGGGACAGACTAGGGAGGTCAAATTTGTGGCCAAGAGTCCACGAGGACACAAGAGGAGGGGTGAGGGAGGAGGAAAGGGGGGCACCACCCATGGGACTCCCGGACGGCAGCAGGTGATCGGCCACTCTGAACCGCTAAAGCCTAGCGAGATGGAGAAAGAGAACTCACAGTCTGGCGAGACCCCAAGAACAAAAAAGAGAACTGACGATTGGTCAAACTTGTGGCCGAGGGTCCACGACGAGGAGACGAGAGGAGGGATGAGGGAGGAGGAGAGCGGAGCGCCCATGGGAATCCCAGGCGGAAGCAGGTGATCGGCCACTCGGATCCGCTCCTTGAGCACACTCTCTGCTGGCACTCTCTGCTGACAGTCTAGGGAGAGCGAGAAAGAGAACTCACGATTGGTCAAACTTGTGGCCGAGGGTCCAAGACGAGGAGACGAGCGGAGGAGTGAGGGAGGAGGAAAGGGGGGCACCACCCATGGGACTGGGGGAGGGCAGCAGGTGATCGGCCACTCTGAACCGCTCCTTGAGCACACTCTCTGCTGATAGCGCCTGCACTTCCTCTGTCAGGTTGTGCAGCTGAATCTCCTCGATGTACAGCCGCGGGCTGTACCGCCCCTCCATGCCCAGCTGCGCTGCTATCTCCCTGACCTTCTTCCGGTCCTTGCCTTGCACCTACAGGGATGGGAAGGGAGAGAAGACAGGGGTGGGAAGTGGTTGGAAGTGGTGGGTTGTGCAGCTGAATCTCCTCAGTGTACAGCCGCGGGCTGTAGCTCCCCTACATGCCCAGCTGCGCTGCCATCTCCCTCATTCTCTTCTGGTCCTCGCCCTGCACCTGATGAAAGAACGGAGAAGGAAAAGAGAGGAAAAGGAGGCGGGAAGGGCGAAGAAACGTGAAGAGAGGTTGCCATCTGCCCCGCCACCTCCCTCACCTCCCTGGGGTCCTTTCACTGTGATGTGAATAAACCCTGCGGCTGCACGCTTTCCCACGAACCACCCACAATCAAGACCCTCTCGCCCTCACACCTCCCCCTCATCTCCCCTCACCTGCATGAAGGTCTTTTTGATCTGCTCCAGCCGGTCGACCTTCACCACCACGTGCTGCTGTTTGTCTCGAAAGACACGAGACTCCCTCCTGAGGATGTGCGCCATCTCCTAGCCCAGCGCCATCCGCCCCACAGCCTGATACCACTGCCAGCCCGTGCCAGAAATCCCTGACCCTGCTGCCCCTGCTGCTTCTGCTGTCCCTGCTGTCCCTGCTATCCCTGCTCACCTGCATGAAGGTCTTCTTGATCTGCTCGAGGCGGTCGACTTTCACGACAACGTGCTGCTGCTTGTCCCTGAAAACGCGAGACTCCCTCCTGAGGATGTGCGCCATCTCGTAGCCCAGCGCCATGAGGCCCCCAAGCAGCCGCACACTCACTTCGAACGTGATGCGTGGGGTTATCACAAAGGGGCCGTCTGTCACGCATTCCTGGTAATGGATCGGGATTCGTGGGGTAGGGAGGGAGGGAGGGAGGGAGTGGAGGGAGTGGAGGGAGTGGAGGGAGTGAGGGAGGCAGGGAGGGGAGCATGGGAGTTGGAAGCGAGGGGCGGGGCAGCAGGCACACGGCAAGACTCCCTCCGGAGGATGTGCGGCATCTCGTAGCCCAGCGCCATGAGGAAGGGAGCGAGTGGAGCATGGGAGTGAGAGACTAAGGGAGGGGCAGCAGACACAGAGTGAGGAGCGACTCCCTCCTAAGAATGTGCGCCATCTCGTAGCCCAGCGCCATCAGCCTGCCCAGCCGCCGCTGCTTCGACACCTTGGTCGGACGACCCAAGACCAGAGCAAGCACCTCAAACATGAGGGAGTAACGGCCATCTCTGTTGCGCATTCTCAGGTACGACTGGCACGTCTCCTTGTCCTCCCTATAAACTATCCTGCTTCTGTACCCAACGCACGTACCTCAAACATGAGGGAGTAGCGCCCATCTCGGTTGCGCATTCTCAGGTACGACTGGCACGTCTCCTTGTCCTCCCCGGGCGGCAGAAGGAAGATGACATACTTCCCCTTGTACTCTTTATATTTGCCCTGCCCTGTAATTTTACCTTGGCAAGACCCCTACCTTTAGCCCATCACCACCACTCCAGACCAGAGCACACACCTCAAACATGAGGGAGTAGCGCCCATCACGATTGCGCATTCGCAGGTACGACTGGCACGTCTCCTTGTCCTCCCCGGGCGGCAGCAGGTAAATATCATACGTCTCCTCGCTCTCCGAACCTGCCACCGCCTCGGCAGACAGCACGGACCGGATCCGAGCCTCAGCTTCGGCAGGGTCGGATTCGGGCGCCTGCAGAAAAATCAATAACCAGGATGAGAGGCAATGAAAGGAAAGAAGCTACTTCTCAGCAAGCTCAAACTAAGAAATGAAAGGGAAAAGGGAAAGGAAGCTGAGCTTGGGCAGGGAAGAAAAAAGTCAGAGAATGTTGGGCAATGTGGATAGTGAATGGGAGGGAGGGGGGGAAGAATGGGAAAACATATTCTAAGATCACAGGTCACAGTCCTGATATAAAGTAGCAGAAAGGCACATACCGCATCACTTCACATCCCATACAACGCCTCACCACACCACACACCCCACCCCACCACGCCGCACCGCAACACACCGCACCACACGCCACACGCAACCGCACTGCACCGAACTTCACCGCACAACTTGAGGATGCAAGTCGCATCTTGGAACCCCGAGAACGGGTTGAACTTGTTGACAATCCTTATGTGTGCCGTCTGCAAATCAGGCTCTATAAATGCCTTGTACATCGGATACACTGTATCTGAGATCTGGTGAATGATCTCTCAGTCACAACAATATCCACCTCACCCCACCGCACCACACCACACTGCACCACACCTTGAGGATGTAAGTAGCATCTTGGAACCCTGAGAACGGGTTGAACTTGTTGACAATCCTTATGTGTGCCGTCTGCAAATCAGGCTCTATAAACGCCTTGTACATCGGATACACTGTCTCTGAGATCTGGTGTATAATCTCCTCGGGGGCCTGCCCCGACCGATCAATGTCGCGCAGCACTCTCTTAACGAGGTCAAAGTGTACTCCACCCGTTATAGACACGCGCAGGTCCAGTAAAGGTCGGAGGCGCTCGCTGAGTGCGTAGATGCCCTCTATAATCACAATGCGTGACTTGGGGACCTTCACTTCTCTGCACGGGAGAAGGGAGGGAGGGAGGAGAGTGGAAAGGGGTGGAATGGGGTGGAGTGGGGTAAAGTGGGGTGGAGAAGGGTGAATTGGTGTAGAGTGGTCTGCGGCCGGAGGTGCTCGCTGAGTGCTAGATGCCCTCTATGATCACAATGCGCGACTTGGAAACTTTCACTTCTCTGCAGGGGAGCAGTGAGATGGAACGGGATCGAGTGGAGCGGGGTGGAGTGAAGTGAGGTGGAGTGGAGCAGAGGGGTCCAGCAGATGTATGTACATCGCTCATGTATGCACATCGCTCATGTATGCACATCGCTCATGTATGCACATCGCTCATGTATGCACATCGCTCATGTATGCACATCGCTCATGTATGCACATCGCTCATGTATGCACATCGCTCATGTATGCACATCGCTCATGTATGCACATCGCTCATGTATGCACATCGTTCATGTATGCACATCGCTCATGTATGCACATCGCTCATGTATGCACATCGCTCATGTATGCACATCGTTCATGTATGCACATCGCTCATGTATGCACATCGCTCATGTATGCACATCGCTCATGTATGCACATCGCTCATGTATGCACATCGCTCATGTATGCACATCGCTCATGTATGCACATCGCTCATGTATGCACATCGCTCATGTATGCACATCGCTCATGTATGCACATCGCTCATGTATGCACCCATCTCTCACTTCCTCCTCACCACTTCCCCCTCACCTGAACCCCACGAGCAAGCTGCACTTGAAGTTGTAAATCGGAACCTCCTGCACTGCACATCCCTGTCCCAGAAACACCCCCCCCCATCTCAGTCGTATGCACACCCCTCCCAATTCCCTCTCACCTGAATCCCACACGCGTGCTGCTCTTGAAGTCATAGATTGGTACTTGAACCGTGCGCCCCTCCCTCAGTCCCTGCAGGTTGCTCAGCAGCAGCTCGTAGTCCGTGATTCGCGGGTCTGGAGAGAATAGAGAAAAGAGGGTGTGATCAGAAAATACCCTCGTAAATTTCTCATAAGTAATCTTCAGCCCCTTCAGGTTCCTCAGCAACAGCTCTGTTGTCCGTGACAAAGGAGAGCACAAAAAACACCTCGCATGCGATGCGAGGCAATGGAAATAGGGTGGAGGAGGAGACTGGGATGAACTTAAGGAGGATTCATTTACTCTGGAGCAAATCTCTGGGCGCTCACCATCGAAATTGCCGTCGATGACGCGACTCGCCACGTTGTAGTTGTCCATAGAGATCACCGTGATGCCAGGCATGAAGTTGAGCACCTGGAGCAGACAATAACGCGTACAGGGAGGAGCACAGTACCATCAGGTGGTCAGGCACAAGCAACGGCGTCTATCAAGCAAGCAAAGCACACGCTACTCAGCAGCTCAACCCTCATTATTGCAATGTCAGGAAGCATTATACAGCACTGATGTTACTTAGTAGATTGTACATCGGGTTACATCTACTGAGTCACACGTACGCGTCCCAGAACAGAACGCTGATCTTACCCGAACCAGCAGTACACTGTACACCTGACAGAATCCTTCAACACCCTTCTACATTACTTACCTCGGATCGTGCACGGGGTTTCAGGGCCGCAGAATGGCGCGTGGCCATACCTTGGCGCTGAAGACTGTTTTGCCGGCGCCAGACGGGCCCGCGAGTCCCACCAGCACCATGCCTTCGTTGTTCTGCCAAGGCACGGGATGTACGGGAGGAAAGCACGGAAAGGAGTAACGGAAGTAAGTGTGCGAAGGAGGCGTGGGAAGGGGAAGTGGGAAGGTGGATGTGAGGGGGGCAAGGGAGGTAAGGGAGCTGTACGAAGGCTGGTAAGAGAACATGAAATCTGCGAGACAACGGGGACCCATGAGAGCCCTGCGCCCTGCCTTCCATGATGAGGAGACAGCAGCTAAGTAGGAGAGGTCAGCGATGGCGTCGGCGGACGTCAGCGTTAAGGCCAGCTGTAGTGGTTTTTATCGAGAGTCGCTAAGATGGCGAGCAAAGGAGCGAAATGAGTACTTCCAGATGACAGTCTAACGACTCTATCGCTGCGCGAATCCTTGATGCTTGCGCCGCTGATCATTGCGCTGATTGCTGCGTTGACAGCCAGACGTTCCTCGAATCGTTGCGCTGATCGTTGCCCCAATCGTCGTGCCAATCGTTGCGCTGATCGTTGCGCTGGACGATGCGCTGGTGGTTGCGCTGATCGTTGCGGTGCTAGCGCTGGTTGCACAATAAGTTGCGCCGATCGTTGCGCTGATAGATGTACTGATTGTTGCGCATCATCCCCACCTCTTTCGAAAGGACTGAAACAACTTCTACGAATGACAAATCTACGTTCACCGTCGATGCTCATCAGCTGATCACTGTTGATCAGTATATGGCATCCGTCAAACGCTTAAAACCACTCAGGTGTATCCGTATTCTGTACTGAACCGAGCAAATCTGGACTGGATTCTGAGAGGTCACCTGAGTCAGCAGCTGCACGGCTCGAATGAACAGAAAGAAGCCCTTCTCGAAGGATAGGGTTTCCGGGATCACCGCGATCTCCTTCCGCTCCTTGCCGTCCGGCGTCTTCCGCGCCACCAGCTGCAGCTGCTGCTTCAGCAGCCGTCCGCGCCGGTGCTGCTCCATCGAGATCGCTCCGCCGCGCGACGGCACCGACTGGCTCTCAACGGCCGTGTCGTAACTCATTCTGTCAGACTGGAAACTCTTTGGGATGTTTCGTAAGCGGCACAGATCGAGGTTATCTTCGCACTAAGCCAGTCAGTCAAGCGAGAGCTTGGGAAGATTCTACGAACGAGTCTTACTCAGGTCAAGATTATCGAAATTACTAGCAAATTTCCGGCAATAAGAGACTGGGAACAAGTCTCAGTCTAGCACTCCAGAAATACAGCCATGCGAAATGGTTGCTGCTGAGACGCAGATGAGCTATGGAGTCTGGACTCTAGAACTACGCAAAGCGTAACTGCATATTTCTAGCGGTCTGGCTGTTTCGGTAGCCATATGCTTCACCCACCTTGCCACTGTACCTGAACCCTGGAAGCGCGCTGACCATGCTCCAAACAATGAACCCATTGACGCTGCTGCCCTTAGGGCGTGTCCGAAGCTTCAACAGACAGGCCAGGAAACGCGTGGCGGTGGATGCTTGTGTGGCTGATGTGGGAGGTAAGTTGAGGTTTGCAGGGACCACATCGATCGGAATTCAAGCCAATTATAGCTAGATTTGAGGAACGAGTTGCCCAGTCTGACGTGGCGGGATCGACCTTCCGCCACGAAATGCATGTGGCGCACAAGGAACCATCAGGCGAAAGGTCCAAGTTGGGCTTTTCTCTCAGGTTGAAGTCGCGGCGCAGGGTAGAATGGGAGTTGAATCAGTTGAATTTTGAGCCACCCGTGTTTTCCCCCTTTTTTTTGGTAAAGTACAAACTGCAGTAAACGTGCATTTGATTTATGAGAGTATTCTAGGTTCACGACAGAACCCTATCCAAGGTGCCAGGTGTGTATTCATTTGAAAGTTGTTAATTGTACAAGGCGTAGAAAAGCACAGAGTAATTCATTAAATAAAGAGTCACAAGACAGAACGAGAGTTGTTGCTAAGCTTTCTGAAGCTCCCTAAGCTAGTAAGGCAGATCCACTTGCGCTTCCACAGCAGCGCCTCCAGAGCAGCTCGACCATCTTCTTTGACCCCTCTTGGCCGTCAGAGGCAAATACCCCTGACGTTTCACCCACGCACCACGATGAGGTGGGGGTCATTCGCGTGGGGCCTGTTTGGGAGGGGGGAAAACGGTCAAAACTTGGAAAAGGGGCAGATGAATAAACACTTCAGACGATTCCCGTTTGTTGTCAGAATGGAGTTGTCAGGATGACCGCCGGCCGTCAAAATGGAGAGGCGTACATGGGCGTACCTGACACCAAACCAGCGCACCTGACCCCAACCCATCGCCCGTGAGTGTGCCTATCGAGTTCTAACGCTCCTATCGATCTGTACCCACCACCACACCTTCGAACCCACTCACAGAACATGCCAGGCTGCTCCCTCCCGCCAAATTTGCGGGGAAGGGCGGAACGAGAGGGGGAAATCAAATTCCAGCCTCGCTCCTTACTCCGCGCTCCGGCTCCCCCTCGCTCCAACTCCGCGCTCCAGCTCCGCACTCCAGCTCCGCGCTTCAGCTCCGCACTCCAGCTCCGCGCTCCGGCTCCCCCTCGCTCCAGCTCCTCGCTCTAGCTTCTCCCCGCTGATACGTGGAGCCTCCCTCCAGACTTGAAACAGCAAAACGGAATCCGACGAAACTTACCGTGAAAGCCGCTTTTACCGTTGTTGCCGATTGCCGTTGCTGGGGACGGTCGATGTAGTCATTGTCGCCGGATGGGGCAGTGGAGCGGGAGGGGGGGCGGAGAGGTAATCATGGGCTGGGGCTACCCTTCCCCCTCCGCCGCCACCCTGCCCCATTCCCGCTCGCACAACCCCGCAGACTTAGAGTCTTCTTCGAAACACTGCTCACACATGGCGAAGCCACACGTCGTGGCACCAAGGCAGAGTGCAGACGAGCGCGAAATTGACGAGCGAAAAGGCGACGACGGGACGAAACAGACCGCCACAGCAGAGAGGAGCGCCGCCTAGCACCGTGCGCCGCGCTGCGCCGCGCTGCTCCGACGCCCCGCCGCGCACGCATAAGACGCCCCCGAAGAAGCGTCGCCGCGAGCTCCCTCCCACTCCCGCTTCCGCTGCGCTAAGAGAAGGGAACACACAGATATAAATTAGTTTCATAATGAAGGAAAAAACGTAAACGGAACTTGACTGCACTTACCAGGCAAGGGAAAACCTCCCCCCGTTACCTCCTTGCTCGCCGTCGTCCCCGCGAGTCCCCACTCCCGCTTCCGCTGCGCTAAGAGAAAGGAACACACAGACAGAAATTAGTTTCATAATCAAGGAAAAAACGTAAACGGAATTTGACTGCACTTACCAGGCAAGGGAGAACCTCCCCCCGTTACCTCCATTTGCTCGCCGCCGTCCGCGCGAGCTCCCGTCTCTGCCGCTGCGCTAAGAGAGAGGAGCAGACAGAAAAAAGTTAGTTTCATCCCAGCTCGTCACATATTTTGTCATTCGTCAACCAGTCACGGAACCCAACCAAGTGCTAAACCCAACCAAGTGTAAAACGGAGAAAAATATGAGACGCGAGCTTTAACAGAAATTGACGAAACTTACCAGACAAGAGGAGAGGGAGAGCTAGCTCTCCTTTACCTCCCTTACTCGCTGTAGTTGCTGCCGTGTTGCCTGCTCCTCCTGCTGCACTAAGAGGAACACGACAAAGGCGTTAGATATCCGGAAAAGGAAGCAGCAAAACGGAATTAAACGGTTCTTACCGTGAAAGCCTCTCGGGCTTTTACCGTTGTAGTCGTTGCTGTAGGAGGTCGATGTAGTCGTTGTCGGGTGGGGCAGTGGAGCGGGAGGGGGGGCGGAGAGGTACGGGCTGGGGCTACCCTTCCCCTCCGCCGCCACCCTGCCCCAATCCCGCTCGCACAACCCCGCAGACTTTGAAACGCTGCGCACATGGCGGTGCCACACGTCATGGCATCACGGCAGAGAGGAGACTGACGAAAAGGAGTGCGAAACCGACGAAATGAAATGCGGCAACGAGACGAAAAACGACACCGCCAAGACAGAAGCGCCGCCAAGCGCCGTGAGTCCCGCCTTGGTCCGCGAGACGCGCCGTGGCCCGCGGGACACGCCTTCGCCCGTGAGACGCGCCTTCGCGGCCCGTGAGACGCGCCTTCGCCGCGAGACACGCCGTGCGCCCGTGAGTCCCTCCCGAAGGAGCATCGCCGTGCGCCATTCCTCGCCATGCAAGCAATGCCACGCTGCGCGTCCCAAGAAAAAAATAGTGAACTTTAGAACACGTAGAGCTGAACGTAAAGTAAAGTAAATTCAGAGAACTTAGGAAACGAGAAGCTGACTCTAGTCAACTGAGAAGACTCTAGTCAACTGAGAAGCTTGTTGTATAGGACTCTCCTCTACTTTGCAGGAACTGGGAGTTGTTCTAAACGATAGAGCTCTGTCTTAGCTTTCCAACGAGCCGTCAAACACATCGATCGCCTAAGTATTCTCCGAGATATAGGCGTTCACGTGCTAGGTGGTGCTCTTGAATGCAAGTAAAGAAGCTCTCTGGAATTTGTGTTCGAATGTACCTTGTACAAAGAACTCTGAGTTTCACTATGATGGCATGCAATACAAAGAAAACAGATTCATAGCATGCAAACAAGATCGAATCGCACAAGTAACCTCGAACCGCTACACTCGCGAATGTTCGAGTAACATCGAAAGGGTGAAATTCGACTCTCGAATTTCACCGATCCGAATTCTCCTTGGGTCTCGAATGTTCCTGGTGCTGCCATGTGGCACCGAATCGAATGGGTCTTCCGAAGTCAATCCTCAACCCCACGCAAACCTGCAACTCACTCGAAGGTGAGCACAAGTCACACATTCGGTGGGTTGGGGGCATACAAACGCCCCACCACCACCTTGCTTCCAACACACGTAATCTCCAACAAAGCTGACTCTAGTCTGAGCTTACCCAACCCGAACGACAAGGATCCGTTGGCAACGGTCGAAGCGTCATCGGCGACGTTAGCTGGCGAGGCGATCTTGTCCCGCGAGGCCCGGGCTTTCAGGTCGAAGCGCCAACGGCGGTAGAAGCTCCTATCCACGTCCGGCTTGGCTTGGGGTCTGAAGCGCCTCCCGCAGTCCAGGTGGACTTGGGCTTCAGGTCTTTAAGTTTGAAGTGCTACCCCCCGCGATTGATAGCGACTAGAAGGTTGTCTGCAGAAAAACGTAGAGCGAGTAAGAGATTTGACGGAAACACGTTAAACGAAATTGCAGAAAGAGATTGCAGAAGTCGAATGATCGGTGTTGCACTTACCTCCAGTCCGCCATTTGCCGTGTTGGCGCGAAGATTGGGTCAGATCTTGCGGTCGGAGCCTGAAATTGTCGCCGTGTAGCGGTGATCCCGGTGTTGTAGACGGCTCAAGTGTGAGTGTCGGCACTTCAAGACTCGCCAGGACGGTCGCCACGAGGTCTGCGGGAAGAAAGCAGCAGCTCAGTACTTGAACAATGTGGAACAACTTATAAACCTAACCGAAACAAGTTGAAAGAAGGTTGCACTAACCTCCAGTCCGCCGTCTTCGTGTTTGTGTGAAGAACAGGTCAGATCTGAACCTGAAATTGTCGCCGTGTCGCGGTGAAACCGGTCTTGTAGACGGGTCAAGTGTTAGCGTCCGCGCTTCAAGTATTGGCGTTGGCACTTCAAGAGGTCTGCGGGAGGAAAAAAACAGAATAGGACTTGAACTATGTTGAACCAATCAGAGCTTAACGTTCCAAAATCGGTTGCAGCAAGAAGTTGAAAAAACTGGACTTACCCTCTCCGTCTAGCTGGGTGGTCTTCGTGCTGGTGGAGATCTAGCGGGTGAAGACCTTGAAGTGAAGATCTTGGCGTAAAAATATTTGAGTGAAGATCTTGGCGTAAAAATCTTGGAGTGAAGATCTTGGCTTGAAGATCTTGCGGGTGAAGAGCTTCATAAAAACCGGGTGTCGTAGACGGCTCAAGTCTCATTGTCGGCGCTGCGAGTCTCGCGAAGATGGTTGCCAAGAGGTCTGCGGGAGGAAAACAACAGATTAGACGCTGAACAATGTTGAATAATTTAAAGCTTAACCTGATAAAAACAGTTGAGAAGTTGAAAATAAAAAAAGACTTACCGTCTGGTGAGACTTGTCTTGACGGCAGCGAAGAGGAAGGCCGCGCCAGCAGGGGAGGCTCCATGCGACACCTGAAGCTCTTGAAGCTCTTGAAGCTCTTGAAGCTCTTGCAGCAGCGACCTTGGAGCGGAGTGGTTTCGCCATCAAGATCTCGCCGCGAAGATATCGCCGTGGAAGTATTTGGCAGAGAAGATCCCGCCATGCAGATGTTGCGGTGATATCTTGAATTCGTCGCGGTGAACCGCGAAAACCCGGTTTTGTAAAAGGTTCAGCCTTAGGCACTTGGCAGCTCGCTCAGACTCGACTCTAATCTACCCAACCCACCCCACCCACTCTAATCTACACGAGACTCTAATCTACACGACCTCACGCTGCCGCATGCCTAGGCTTTCTCCATTCACTAGCCGGGTGGCTTCAGATAGGATATGCTCCGACGAGCCTGAAGTCCAAATTGAGCCAGTAAGTAGGAGCTTTACTGGAAGTCCTTCGTTGAATTCGTGAAGGAAGAAACTGAAAATGAACGCCATGAATGGGACTTCACAGGAGCAGAAGTGAGTTGAGTGAGGAGGACGAAGCATGGTTCCGTGCCGCGGATGAATGAATTCAATCCAACCAGAACTGGAGAGTCTGTTGTTTAGCGGCGCCACGGCGCAAAACAGTGCAGTTCCAACCCAAATGTGGGTCAACGCCGTAAAGCGGCTGAAAGTATTCTCTGTCAGAATGGGTCAACCCTACAGTGGCGAATTCAAAATCCCCGCCTAGAAGTTGCGTTGACAGCTTTGTCGGCTTGACAAAACAAACTGAGCCGCATGGCTTGGCGATGTGATGCGACCCTAACTTCTGAGCCGAACCCAACCAGCCCAAGCTGTACATCTCTTTCACAAACTCGTTCATTTTGAAATTCTTGTTTGTGTTGCTCTTTCTGCAAACGAACCTGCTGAGGGCGCGTATTTTGTTGGAGTGGTTGGTTGAGGGCTGTGGGTATGGGCTAGGGCAGGCATGAACTTTCTAAGAAGTAGTGGACGTGGCGCTTTTTATAAATAATATCGAGTTTTTGGCCTGAGTTTGGCGTAAGGTGCGGGATGGTGGGTGGAGGGATAGTTAGGAAATTCCTGCGTGGCGCGAAAAGTTTAGGCTGTCTACGCAAATTAATTTGCCCCTACGAACCTCACCTGGGCAGCTGAAAATACAAATGGGATCCTGAAGGAATTTCACAAGCCAATAGCAATGAAGTGTGTTTCCACGGCAGCACGGAATGTTTCTGGCACCATAGCTAGTTTCGATAGCGCTTTCAGTCGTACTTCGGTATTCTACGCTTCACACTAGTGCGGTAACCACTGCCAAAACTTAGGAAGTTACTGTTATTTGCTCTCTCTAGTTACTGTTTTTGCAAGATTTGACGATTTTTGTAGCTCATCTACGTCTGCAGTATCAGCGTCGATTTGCGGTCACATTCAAAACATTTATTTGTAGAGGCTATTTTGAGTCAAAAATATATATATAAAAAAGCGGAGACATTTGTAATGTTTATTCAGGGAGACATATCGTGCAAACGCATAGATACGACCGCTGATCGTTGCGCGACAGTGGAGAAAGGGATGCCGGGAGGGAGATGAGAGGTAAGCGAGCGGAGGGAGGGGGAATGGAGTGGCGAAAGTCCTTATTGGGGCGCGTAAGGGGAATCAGAAAGGAGAGGACTGGCGAGAGTGACAGGCGGAGTGGCCTATTTCTCCTTATTTTTCCTTTTCCCCTCCCTTCGCTTTCCTCCACATACCCCCTCTTCCCCTGACTTTGCGTAGAAACGTCACGCATCCCTTATTCCCACCTCTCTCCCTTCTTGACACCCAAGCTCTCTCCTCAATTCCCCGCTCGCCCCTCATCCTCCCCGCTCTCCCCTCATCTGCCCCGCTCTCCCCTCGCCTTCCCCGCTCCCCCCTCGTCTTCCCCGCTCTCCCCTCGTCTTCCCCGCTCTCCCCACCTCTCACCCCCTTTCTCCCTCCTCTCCCCCCCTCTCCCTGCACTCCCCTGCGTGCATCGCTTATCTTCCCCCGTGCACTTGCTCCCCCTTTTTTTGCACAACCCCCCTCTCCATCTCCCCTCTGCTCACCTTTCGTTCTAGCCCTCTCCCCCTCCCCTCCTCTTCCCCCACCCCCCACGCACCCCTCATCTCGCTCCCCCCCCCCCTCCACTTCCCCCCCACCGCCCCCTCATCACCCCTCGCAACCGTGACTCCCAACCCAACACGCACAGATGTTTCAGAGGAACCTCTAAAATCACGACTGAGGTAGTGAGTGAGCCCTGTGAAGCAACAAGACACAGCTCACTCCATGGACTTGGATGCAGATGGCGCCTGTGACTCTCATGTTCCCATCTCCCTCATCTCCCTCCCCCCCCCCTCCCCTCCCCCCCCACCGCCCCCTCATCACATCTGAATTCGCGAATGAGGGAGTGAGAGTGAGTACGGTGAAGCAATAAGACACAGCTCTCTTCATGGACTTGAGTTCAGATGGCGCCTGTGACTCATGTTGCCATCCCATCACGCACAGTTACAAATGCCCCAGGAGATAGGAAGGGAAAGGACATGCTTTGTTGCAAACGCACTTTTAAAAGTAAAACTAGAAAAAGTTCCAAGCTGCTGCTGCTGCCTGCCCGTCCATCTGATCAATTGAAAGAAAGCCAGCAATTTATGGTAATTTCTTGTCAGATATGGATCCAAAGCAGCCAGCTTCAAGTGTTTCTAGTAAAGTTGTTCCAGAGATGAAAACGTCCTACTATCACGCCACATGTCGCACTCTACCATAACATAATTCGTCAATACTAATGATACCAGCAATATGCATGCATGCTTCACAGCTGCTTATTCCTACACCGGTCAGCGCTTGGCTGCTACGCTCTCCTGGTCAGTGGATTAAGTAGAGTTGATAGTAAGCAAGGCCTTTCTCTCTGACAACATATGCCGTGCTCGCTAGCGAAGCTACCCTCCTCGTAATTCTGAGATGTCATAATGATGAGCCATAATCTTTCAATCGCACTCGCCTCCATCCCCTTGTTGCGTCGAAGCCATCGCCACCAAAGGGGGCCCTCCCGTCCCCATCCAAGCCATGGGCCCTCATGGACACGTAACACAAGAGAAAGCAGAGCATATTTCTGAGATGCATCAAAAGCACGCATCTCCATTTCATGCCACGGGGGGGAGTGGAGAGAGGGGGGAGTCATGTCATGGGGCACAACACAACCTCATGTCATCTGAGGCGCCTCAAGTCGAGGCGTCTCCAGTCCGCCTCTTAGGGAGGGAGGATCATTCTCAGCAAGCCTAGAGCTGCTCCCACTCCTGAGAACCGTAGGGCACTCCATTCTCAGCAGTAACCGTTTCTAGGCCATCGGAATTATTCCTAAGCACTCCAGCAAAAACGAAGGTAGCCGAGCCGAGCACTGCCCCTAATCCTGCTCCCCTTCCTTCCATCCTGACTGCCTCTCTCCTCCCTTGATCTTTCTCCTATTCCATCCAACTCCACTCGCCTCTATTCCTTGCATCAGCTGCATTCATCACAAAAAGAGACGACATCTCCTGGTCATGGGGGATCGACTCCAGACAACCCACTCCTGCCCATACTCCTGCTCCCTCCTTCCTCCTGCCCTTCTGCTCCCTCGCCCTTGCGCCTTTACCTCCCCCCATATTCATCTTGCCACCACCACTCCCCCCATATTCCTCATGCCAATACTGCCCTGCATCAGCAGCGTTCATCACAAGAAGACACGACATTTCCAGGTCATGCGCATCGTCCCCGGCAACCCACCCGCCCCATGCCTCGCGCCTCTACCTCCCTTCCTAATCTCCTCTCCTTTGCCCACCTGGCACCCCTCTATCGCCGTGCATCAGCTGCATTGATCACAAGAAGGGAAGACATTTCGAGGTCATGGGGATCATCAACCGGCAATTCATCACTGCTGCCTCGCCACTAGCCCCCCACGCCGCCCCCCCAAACTACCACACCCTTCCTCCTCTCGTTTCTATCGCCGTGCATCGGCTGCGTTCATCACAAGAAGAGAAGACATCTCGAGGTCATGGGGATCATCAACCGGCAACCCACCCGCTCCGCCCCTCCCACTCCCCGCCCGCCCCGGGCTCATCAGCACATACTTGATCGACTGCGCAAAACTCTCCACACTTGCTCCCCACCGCCCACTCTCCCCACCCCTCCCCGAACTCGTTCCCCCTCCCCCCACACTCAGCCTCAGGCTCCCAAACCCGACGCCCGACCGCCTCCCGCTGGCAGTCACAGCAGCGGGAACCGCAGCGGAGTAACCATCGACAAGCAACGCATCATCCTCGTTAAGATTATCAAAGAGGTGGGAGTCGAGACGGAGTCGCTCCTCCATGGTTTGGAGCACCTCGCGCATGGTCGGGCGGCTGGACGCGTCTTCTTGCACGCAGTCCCGCGCGATGGTGCCGAGCTCGATGAGCTCTGATTGGTTGAAGTAGCCGCCGAGTTGCGGGTCCACCATGAGAGGCATCATCTGCGCATCTTCCAGGAAAGGGGCGGCCTGTGAGAGGAGGGAGGGGGACGGTGGGGAGGAAGCAACAGGGAAGTGAAGATGGTAGGGAAAGGAAGCGACTTAAATTAACCGCCCAGTTGTGGGTCCACCATGAGAGGCATCATCTGGGCATCTTCCACGAAAGGGGCGGCCTGAGGGAGGAGGGAGGGAGACAATGGGGAGGAGGGAGACCATACGAAGGACGAAAATAGGGAGGTAGAGATGGTGAGGGGAAAGGAAGCGAGTTGAAGTAGCTGCCGAGCTGCGGGTCCACCTTGAGAGGCATCATCTAGGCATCTTCCAGGAAAGGGGCGGCCTGTGAGAGGAGGGAGGGGGACGGTGGGGAGGAAGCAACAGGGAAGTGAAGATGGTAGGGAAAGGAAGCGACTTAAATTAACCGCCCAGTTGTGGGTCCACCATGAGAGGCATCATCTGGGCATCTTCCACGAAAGGGGCGGCCTGAGGGAGGAGGGAGGGAGACAATGGGGAGGAGGGAGACCATACGGAGGACGAAAATAGGGAGGTAGAGATGGTGAGGGGAAAGGAAGCGAGTTGAAGTAGCTGCCGAGCTGCGGGTCCACCTTGAGAGGCATCATCTAGGCATCTTCCAGGAAAGGGGCGGCCTGAGGGAGGAGGGAGGGAGACAATGGGGAGGAGGGAGACCATACGGAGGACGAAAATAGGGGGGTAGAGATGGTGAGGGGAAAGGAAGCGAGTTGAAGTAGCTGCCGAGCTGCGGGTCCACCATGAGAGGCATCATCTAGGCATCTTCCAGGAAAGGGGCGGCCTGAGGGGAGACGAGGAAAAGTACAGGGAAGGTAGCAGGGATGGTAGCAGGGAAGGTAGCAGGGAAGATAGCAGGGAAGATAGCAGGGAAGGTAGCAGGGAAGATAGCAGGGAAGATAGCAGGGAAGGTAGCAGGGAAGATAGCAGGGAAGATAGCAGGGAAGGAGCAAAAAGGGAAAGAAAGGGAGATGAAATGGAGCCGTAATGGTCGAACCGAACCCATACACGTCCACTTTCTCCATCTGCATGCTCGCCTCACACTGCACATACCGCACTACACCGCACTGTACTGCATCGAACCACTCTGCACCACTCTGCACCACACTGTACCGCACTGCACCGCATTGAACCGCACCCAACCGCACTGTACCACGACTCACCACACTGGTGATGTGGACCTCCTTCATGGCCTTTTGCCCCGTGATCAGCTCCAGCAGCACCACTCCGAACTCATACACGTCCACCTTCTCCATCTGCATGCTCACCTCATACTGCATGTACCGCACTGCACCACAGTGTTACCAGACTATACCGCATTGTACCGCATTATACCGCACTGTATCGCACTGAATTGCACTGCACCGCACTGTACCGTGACTGACTCACCACGCTGGTGATGTGGACCTCCTTCATGGCCTTCTGCCCCGTGATGAGCTCCAGCAGCACCACTCCGAACCCATACACGTCCACCTTCTCCATCTGCATGCTCGCCTCACTCGCCTCCCCCCTCTCTGCCCTCCCCGCCCGTGACTTGCGCTGCCTCCTTGGGTTCTCCTCAAAGGATGAGGTTGCGCCGCCGCTGCCTCTTGCAATGCCGAAATCCGACAACTGGAGAGACGGACACACAAAGGGAGGGACGCTTGAGGTGACTGCACGGTGCACGAGGGGTGGAGATACACCACGTTTGCTGCTAGTCACTGGTCAATGCCCCCCACCGCGTGCCAGAGTCTGCCAGCCAGACCCCCACACAACTTGGTGCTCACATCAACAGAGACCCCCACACTCCATGGCCCTGGAATGAAGCCAAGACACGGTAGCCCATACATACCTTGGCGCTCATGTCGTGAGCGAGGAGGATGTTGGAGGAGGTCACAGCACGGTGCACCAAGGGAGGTGCCACATTATGGCGGAGATACTCAAAGGCACACGCCCACTTTCACTTCTAGTTACTGCAAGGTGCCACCACTCGCAGCATCAACACCCACCCACACACCTTGGCGCTCATGTCATGGGCGAGGAGGATGTTGGAGGAGGTCACAGCGCGGTGCACGAGGGGGGGAGACACGCCGTGGTGGAGATACTCCAAGGCACATGCCACGTTCACTGCTATTCTCACTCAACTTGTGCCAGGGGCTGTGCGCCTAGACACTCCTATCAACACCAGCGCTCGCATACCTTGGCGCTCATGTCATGGGCGAGCAGGATGTTGGAGGAGGTCACAGCACGGTGCACGAGGGGGGGAGACACGCCGTGATGCAGATACTCCAAGGCACACGCGATGTTCACTGCTATGCTCACACGCGTTTCCCAGGGAAGCGGTTCCAGCTCCGGCCCTGTGGGTTGGGGGGTGCAGGGTGGGGTTGGGACGGGGAGAGAGAGGGGTTGAGGGTGGTGCAGTGCAGTGCAGATACTCCAAGGCACACGCCACGTTCACTGCAATGCTCACACGCGTTTTTCAAGGAAGCGATTCCAGCTCCGGCCCTGGTGGTTGGGAGTGGGGAAGGTTGCTGGATATGTAGAGTTTGTGTGAGGGCTCCATCCATAAAAGAAAGAAAGAAAAAAAAAAACACCAGGAACAAGAATGTACTCACTGTGTAGGCGGTCGAAGAGCGTGCCGTTAGAGAGGTACTCATAAACGAGGATGCGCTCGCCCTTGCCCACACAGTACCCCAGCAGGTTCACGAGGTAGCGGTGCCGTGCCCTTGCCAGCACCTCCACCTTGCACTTGAACAGGAACTCGCCCAACTCTGCAGGGGAAGGCAAAGGGGATTGAGTAAGAGAAAGAGGGTTCAGCGGGTTGGAAAAGCCAGATGGGTTCAGTGCGGTACCCCACACAGTACCCCAGCAGGTTCACGAGGTAGCGGTGCCGTGCCCTTGCCAGCACCTCCACCTTGCACTTGAACAGGAACTCGCCCAACTCTGAGGGGGAGAGGATGAGGGGAGAAGTGACAGGTGGAAAGGAAGCTAGATGGGTTCAGTGCGGTAGCCCACACAGTACCCCTACATGTTCATGTGGTAGCGGTGCCGTGCCCTTGCCAGCACCTCCACCTTGCACTTGAACAGGAACTCGCCCAGCTCTGAGGGGGAGAGGATGAGGGGAGAAGCGACAGGTGGAAAGGAAGCTAGATGGGTTCAGTGCGGTAGCCCACACAGTACCCCTACATGTTCATGTGGTAGCGGTGCCGTGCCCTTGCCAGCACCTCCACCTTGCACTTGAACAGGAACTCGCCCAACTCTGCAGGGGAAGGCAAAGGGGAATGAGTAAGAGAAAGAGGGTTCAGCGGGTTGGAAAATCCAGATGGGTTCAGTGCGGTACCCCACACAGTACCCCAGCAGGTTCACGAGGTAGCGGTGCCGTGCCCTTGCCAGCACCTCCACCTTGCACTTGAACAGGAACTCGCCCAACTCTGCAGGGGAAGGCAAAGGGGATTGAGTAAGAGAAAGAGGGTTCAGCGGGTTGGAAAAGCCAGATGGGTTCAGTGCGGTACCCCACACAGTACCCCAGCAGGTTCACGAGGTAGCGGTGCCGTGCCCTTGCCAGCACCTCCACCTTGCACTTGAACAGGAACTCGCCCAACTCTGAGGGGGAGAGGATGAGGGGAGAAGTGACAGGTGGAAAGGAAGCTAGATGGGTTCAGTGCGGTAGCCCACACAGTACCCCTACATGTTCATGTGGTAGCGGTGCCGTGCCCTTGCCAGCACCTCCACCTTGCACTTGAACAGGAACTCGCCCAGCTCTGAGGGGGAGAGGATGAGGGGAGAAGCGACAGGTGGAAAGGAAGCTAGATGGGTTCAGTGCGGTAGCCCACACAGTACCCCTACATGTTCATGTGGTAGCGGTGCCGTGCCCTTGCCAGCACCTCCACCTTGCACTTGAACAGGAACTCGCCCAACTCTGCAGGGGAAGGCAAAGGGGAATGAGTAAGAGAAAGAGGGTTCAGCGGGTTGGAAAATCCAGATGGGTTCAGTGCGGTACCCCACACAGTACCCCAGCAGGTTCACGAGGTAGCAGTGCCGTGCCCTTGCCAGCACCTCCACCTTGCACTTGAACAGGAACTCGCCCAACTCTGCATTGCAGGAAAATATTAGAATGCAGGAAGGGAATAGGCTGGGTGGGGAGGGTGATGGTTGGAATCAGAAGGAGGTGGGTTCAGCGAGGCAACCCATGCAGCAGGTTCACTCACGAGGAAGCGGTGGCGTGCTTTTGCTTTTGAGTTGACTCAAAAGGGAAAAGGCTGGGTGGAGAGGGTCTGATTTTGAGTCGACTTAAAATCAGGGTGATGGTTGGAAGGAGGTGGGTTCAGCGAGGTACCCCATGCAGCAGGTTCACGAGGTACCCCATGCAGCAGGTTCACGAGGTAGGTAGCGGTGGCGTGCCCTTGCCAACAGCTGCAGCTACACCTTACGTGCATGCCCCGGATCACCTAAACAAGACTCACTCTGCGGGTCGTGGGCTCGCTTGATGATGGCACGCGGGTCAGACTGGTCTCGGAAGAATTCCTCTGCAAGGTACACCATGCCGAAACTATGTGCCCCCTCCCTTGTATACCATGTGTGCCAGTGGCATTGCCTCAGCACTGCATGCGTGCTTGCACCAAACACGGCACTCACTCTGGGGATCGTGGGCTCGCTTGATGATAGCTCGCGGGTCACTCTGGTCACGGAAAAAGTCCTCTGCAAGGTACACCATGCAAAAGCTGTGTGCGCCCCTTCTAGATACCATGTGTGCAAGTGGCATTGCCTCAACACTGCATGCACCAAACATAGCACCCACTCTGCGGGTCATGGGCTCGCTTGATGATGGCTCGCGGGTCAGATTGGTCCCGAAATAAGTCTTCTGCAAGGTACATACACCATGCCACAGCTGTGTGTGGCCCCTTCCATGCCTAGCAATGCATGCATACACCTGGCAGACCAAACTCACTCTGAGGGTCGTGGGCTCGCTTGATGATGGCTCGCGGGTCAGACTGGTCTCGGAAAAAGTCCTCTGCCAGGTATACCATGCCAAAGCTTCCCCGCCCATAGATGGTGGTGAAGTTTCGTGTTGCCTTCTTGATCTTGGATAGGCTGTACTCCGTTACGGGCACTGGCGGGGTGGAGAAGGGAGGAAGGGTGGAGAAAACCGGCATGTGAGCTGGATTGCAAGAGACGGCTGCGCTGAAACAGACGGCTGCCGCGGCCGTAGATGGTGGTGAAGTTGCGCGTTGCCTTGTTGATCTTTGACAGGCTGTACTCTGTTACTGGCACTGGTGCGGTGAAAAGGGGAGACCATGTGACCTCTCAGGTCAGACCTCAATGACTCAAGCAGGAGGCAAGGCTCATTGCACATACACTGGTCGGCGCGGTTAGAGCCGTCAGAGTTCCCTTGGCGGTAGCTCAAGTAGTAGGCAACGGCGATGAGGGCAACGAGAGCAGTCGTGAAGACTACAATGGTGATTATGCCGGGCACTGGCGTTGACCCTGATGTGATGAGGGAGAGGGGGAATAGAGAGCGAAGAGGAGGGAGAGGAGGAGGAGGGAGAGGAAGGCAGAGAGGAGAGAGAAGAGGAAGGAAAAGAGGAGGGAGAGGGAGGGAGAGAAGGGGGGGAGGGCGGAGGGGAGGGAGGGAGAGAGGGGACGTACATTGGTCTGGGCGATTGGAGGAGGAGGTTCCAGAGCTCCTCACGTTGCAAATGAAGGCCACTATAACGAGGACGCTGAAGAAGATGACAAAAAAGCCCAGCAGCACATACGCTGCTGCTGGGGAGCCTGGAACCGAATACATGGAGGAGGAAAGAGGGGTTGGGGGAGAGGAGAGGGGGAGGGGGAAGGGAGGGGAAGGGGCAGGACGGGAGGGAGGGGGAAGAGGGCGAGAGGGGAGATGCAGAGAGCTTTGAAGACTATAAAGAAGCCCCACAGCACAGAACACACGCTGCTGCCATGGTGGAGCCTGGGAACATAGGGGAAGGAGGCAACATAGGAGGGAGGGGTGAGTGGGGAGAAGGAGAGGGTGAGCCTAAAAATGCTTGAAGATGCTTTTTGAGTCGACTAAAAATATTACCTGTGGTGAGCTTTGAAGATGCTGAGTGAAAGCAAACTGAAAGAAGAGCGGCGCAGCACACTTTGGCTAGCAGGGGAGGCGGGGGAGCAACAGGGGGAGAAACCGAGGCAGCAGGCCCGGCTGGGGGAGACGACTCCTGGGAAGCAGCATTGCTGCCACCGCTGCTGCTGCTACCCCTGAGATGAAAAAGCTGAACGCACCTTGGTTGGCAGGGGGAGGAGGGGGAGGAGCAGAGACTGAAGCAGCAGCAGCCTCAGCGGGAGGAGGAGACTCCTGGGAAGCAGCATCGCCGCCACCGCTGCTGCTGCCGTCAGTGGTGGTGCCGTCAGCTGTGGGGGGACTGGCGGTGGTCCCATCAGTGGGGGTTCCGTCCGTGGGAGGGGGGGTCCCGTCTGTGGAGGGAGGAGTGGTGGTGGGAGCAGCGCAGACGTCCTGTTGATCCGGCACGTTGTCAAGGCAGTTGCCGTTGTACTCAAATTTCACTGCGTTGGTGCTGCTGATGTCTGGGACTGGGCCTGTGAGGAGGTTCATAGACAGAGTCCTGTGTGTTCAGGGGGCCAAGAGAAGGGCGCAAAGGCAGGGAGGGAGGGAGGCACGTTGTCAAGGCAGTTGCCTTTGTACTCAAAGTTCACTGCGTTGGTGCTGGAGACGTCTGGGACTGGGCCTGTGAGGAGGTTCATAGACAGAGTCCTGTGTGTTCAGGGGGCCAAGAGAAGGGCGCAAAGGCAGGGAGGGAGGGAGGCACGTTGTCAAGGCAGTTGCCGTTGTACTCAAAGTTCACTGCGTTGGTGCTGCTGACGTCTGGGACTGGGCCCGTGAGCAGGTTCATAGACAGTGTCCTGTGGTGGTGAGGGGGGGAGAGTGGGGAGCAGAGGCAGGGAAAGAGAGAGGCATGTCAAGGCAGGGAGGAAAGGAGGCACGTTGTCAAGGCAGTTGCCGTTGTACTCGAATTTGACTGCATTAGTGCTGCTGATGTCTGGGACTGGACCAGTGAGCAGGTTCATAGACAAGGTCCTGTGTTCCGGGAGAAAACGGGAGAAACGGGTAGTGGGAGAGGGAGGAAAAGCAGGGAGAGAGAGGGACACGTTGTCCTCAGGCCCTTTGAACCACTCACAGTGTGGCTAGGTGCGGCAGCTCTGTCAGACATGCAGGAATGCCCCCCTGCAGCTGATTCCTCACCAGATTCAGATCGTACATGTTGGTGAGTTGACAAAGCTCCGTGGGAATGGCGCCCGAGAGCAGATTGTGGTTGAGGGTGACTTGCTATGCCACCAACCGGTTGCCATGAGAAATCCACTCACAGTGTTGCTAGGTGTGGAAGCTGTGTGAGGCACGCGAGAATGGTCCCCTGCAGCTGGTTCCGGACCAGATTGAGGTCATAGATGTTGGTGAGCTGACAAAGCTCTGTAGGAATCGCCCCCGAGAGCATGTTGTGGTTGAGGAAGAGCTTGTTGAGCGTCACGAGCTGCCCTTGTACTCGAGCTTTCAGTGTCCGTGCCCTTGTTGGGATACGGTGTCTCTGCTTTCAGTCCGTGCCCCCACGACAGGACATTCACACGCTCACACGCTCACACGCTACTCACAGGGTGGCGAGGTGCGGCAGCTGTGTCAGACACGCGGGAATGGTGCCCTGCAGCTGATTCCTCGCCGAATTCAGATCGTAGATGTTGGCGAGCTGGCAGAGCTCTGTAGAAATTTTCCCCGAGAGCATGTTGTGGTTGAGGAAGAGCTTGTCGAGCGTCACGAGCTGGAGAGTCACGAGCTGCCCCAGGGGGCTCAGATACGGAGGGATGCCCCCCCAGAGCTGGCAGAGCTTCGTGGGGGATGCATGATAAAGAGGGAGGGATGGATGGACTCACAGGGTGGCTAGGTGCGGCAGCTGTGTCAAGCACGCGGGTATGCCCCCCTGCAGCTGATTCCTCGCCAGATTCAGATCGTAGATGTTGGTGAGCTGACAAAGCTCTGTAGGAATTTGCCCCGAGAGCATGTTGTGGTTGAGGAAGAGCTTGTTGAGCGTCACGAGCTGCCCCAGCGATGGCGGGATGTCCCCCGTGAGCTGGTTGTTGTCCAGAAAGATCTCCACTATGTTCTGCAGCTCACCCAGGTTGGCGGGAATGGGGCCGGTTAAGTCGCAATACTCGAAGGCTCTGTGGGTGAAGGGTAGGGAGAAAGGGGAGCAAGGGAGAGAGGGAGGGACGGAGGGGAAAGGAAGGACAGAGGGATGACCCCATGAGCTGGTTGTTGTCGAGAAAGATCTCGACTATGTTCTGCAGCTCGCCCAGGTTGGCTGGTATGGAGCCTGTCAGGTGGCAGTACTCAAAGGCTCTGCGGGTGTGGGGAGATGGGGAGGGGAGGGATGGGAGACGGAGGAAGAGAGGGTGGGAGGGAGAGAGGGATGGCCCCCGTGAGCTGGTTGTTGTTTAGGACCAGGAGGATCTCGACTATGATCTCAAGTCCGCTCAGGTTGGGGGGAATGGGGCCCGAGAGATTGCAATACTCAAAGGCTCTGTGAGTGTGTGTGGGAGGAAGGGAGGGAGGGAGGGAGGGAGGAAAGAGACTCACATACACTGCATTGACTCATGTTGACTGCATGCATTGACTCACATTGACTGCATTGACTCACGTTGACTGCATTGACTCATGTTGACTGCATTAACTCACATATGTTGAATGCATTGACTAGCGTTGACTGCACTGACTCACTCACATTGACTGGATGCGTGCCATTTTCCCTAGAAACTCTGGGATAGTGCCGTTTATACCCTCGTTGTAGCTCACATCCCTGCAGGCAAGAAGAGGGGAGAGGAGGACAAGAGAGGGAGACGGAGAAGGACTAGTTGAGAGGGGAAGGAGGGCAGGGTTGGGTATTGTAGCTCACGTCCCTGCAGGCAAGAAGAGGGGAGAGGAGGACGAGAGATGGAGAGGGAGAGGGTGAGGGAGAGGGAGAGGGAGAGGGAGAGGGGGAGGGAGAGGGAGAGGGAGAGGTAGAGGTAGAGGGAGAGGGAGAGGGAGAGGGAGAGGCAGAGGGAGAGGGAGAGGGAGAGGGAGAGGGAGAGGTAGAGGTAGAGGTAGAGGTAGAGGTAGAGGTAGAGGTAGAGGTAGAGGTAGAGGGAGATTTAAGTGCATGGCAGCGCACACTGGTACATGAGTGATTCGAGCATGCTGTATGTAGACTGGGGGAAATGTGAGAAAATGTGAGGCCGCCTCAAAGAACATGTAAAACTAGGGAGGGCATAGCTGTGCTTTGAGTCGACTCAAAACACGACTTGGGAGGGCATAGGCGGAGAGCTGTAAAAGCAGGGAAGCACTCGCAGGTAAGTGCATGGCAGCACTCACAAGGGGGTGTCCATCAGTTACAGAGCAGAGCAGCAAGAGAGAGAGAGAGAGGGAGAGAGCAGCACGCACAGGTACATGAGTGACTCGAGCTTGCTGTAGGAGTCCGGTATGGGGCCCAGTAGTGCACAGCACATCCGCTTACACATGTGAACGGATGCTCTAAGCTAAGTGCGGAGCAGCAAGAGAGAGAGAGAGAGCAGCACGCACAGGTACATGAGAGACTCGAGCTTGCTGTAGGAGTCCGGTATGGGCCCTTCCAGCTTGTTGTTCGCCACATAGCTGCCATGGGTGGCAAGAGGAGGGCATGGCGGGGAGGGCATGGGAAGAGCGCATTGGGAGGATTCTTGAGCGCATGTGTAGGAGTCCGTATGGGCCCTCCAACTTGTTGTTCGCCACATAGCTGCCATGTGGGGAAAAGGGAGGAGGGCATGGGGGTGAGGGCATGGGAGGTAGAGAGCACGTTGGGTGGGGGAAAAGGGAGGGTGTTGAAGAAACGGGCATAGTTAAGGACGAGTCGAACACACACACAGGTATGGGGGGAGGGGAACCACAACCAACCAATGTCTAAGAAACACAAAGCAAGGAGAATCAACCATTAGGGGAAAACAAACAAACAAACAAAACGAATAAAACAAAGGGCATGTGTGGAACACATTCGGTTTAACTCAAATGCACAACATGATTTCTCACATGGCGGATAGATTGGGTAGGTCCCCTAGCTCGGGGGGGAGCAGCCCTGAGAGCTGATTGTCGTCCATGGCACTGGGGGTAGAGGGGGGGAGCACATAATAACGCAAAGAGAAGGCGGAGAAGGAGGGGAGGGGACGATTTGAGGCGCCTTAGAAATCGGCTTAGGAGGGAGCAGCCTTGTGAAGTGGTGCCGTCCATGGCACTGGCAAGGGGAGAGAAAGCACGTAAGGGGGGAGACCGAGAGAAGGAGGAGGAGGGTGAGAGATTGATACAGGGCGAAAAGTGGGAGGGGGAGGAAGCAATCCCGTAGTGTATTAGAGACGCAACTATGGACAGGACAGGGTGTATGGGTGGAGTGGAGCTTACATGGAGTGGAGAGACACTGCGAGAGCCAGTTTCGTGGGGATGGGGCCTGAGATCGACTTTTGTGAATTCTAAAAAACGAGAGTATATGGGTGGAGCTTACATGGAGTGGAGGGACACTGCGAGAGCCAGCTGCATGGGGATGGGGCCTGAGAGCCCGTTGGTGTACATCTCCCTGCATAGGGGCACAGGGGCACAGCGGCACAGGGGCACAGGGGCACAGGGGCACAGGGGCTCAGGGGCACAGGGGCACAGGGGCACAGCGGCACAGGGGCACAGGGGCACAGGGGCACAGCGGCACAGCGTCACAGGGGCACAGGGGCACAGGGGCACAGGGGCACAGCGGCACAGGGGCACAGGGGCACAGGGGCACAGGGGCACAGGGCACAGGGGCACAGCGGCACAGGGGCACAGGGGCACAGGGGCACAGAGGCACAGCGGCACAGGGGCACAGCGGCACAGGGCAACAGGGGCACAGCGGCACAGCGGCACAGGGGCACAGGGGCACAGGGGCACAGGGGCACAGGGGCACAGCGGCACAGGGGCACAGCGGCACAGGGCACAGGGGCACAGGGGCACAGGGGCACAGCGGCACAGGGGCACAGCGGCACAGGGGCACAGGGGCACAGGGGCACAGGGGCACAGCGGCACAGGGGCACAGCGGCACAGGGGCACAGCGGCACAGGGGCACAGGGGCACCACAGGGACAAAGCGGCACAGGGGCACAGGTTTACAGGGGGACAGGTGCACAGGGGGACAGAGGGATGGGCACAGGGGGGAACAGGGGAACAGAGGCACAAAGGCACAGGTATGGCTTGGGATGGCATGGCAGAGAGCAGGAATGGAGAAAATACAAGCACTGCTGCACATTCACAGGCTAAAGGAGTTTCCTGTGCTAAGCATCAACCAGCACGTTATGTGTTACGTACCAGCAATAATCTGGGCTAAGTAGCAGCACTTAACTGTGCTAAGTAACAGCGCTTACAGGACTTCAAGCTGCTTGAGGTTCCCTAGCCACTCGGGAATGGGACCCGACAGCTGATTGGCTGGAAAAGAGCTGCAAGGAGCAAGAAGTGAGCGGGAAGGGAGAGAAGGAGGAGGGTGATGCGGTTGGGGTTGGGGGGAAAGTGGAGGAAATAAGGAGAAGGGAGAAGAGGGCGTGGAAGGGAGAATAGAATCAAGAATTCAAGTTTATGCAAAAAAAAAAAAAAAAAACACACACACACACACACAGAGGAGTGAAGGTTTCTGGCAGTGAGCTTACATGAGTTTGAGGTTACTGCAGTAGGCTAGCTGTGGTGGTAGCTCGCCCGATAACTTGTTGCTGCCCATGTCCCTGGAGGGAAGGGGGAAGAGAGCGGGGGAAGAGAGCGGGGGAAGAGGAGAAGGGGGGGGAATGGGTGGGTGGAGAGGTGGTGGGTGAAAAAAAACGGCTAGCTGTGGAGGTAACTTGCCCAATTTCTTGTTGCCGCATATGACCCCTGCAGAGAGAAGGAAAGGGGAAGAGGAACGGGGAGGAGAACAGGTGGGTGGGGAAATAGGGGCTAGCTGTGGTGGTAGCTTGCAAGATATCTTATCGCTGCCCATGTCCCCGCAGGGAGGGGAGAGGGGAGAGGGGAGAGGGGAGGAGGGAGTGGTGGGTGGGATGGTGGGGAGGAGAAAGAGGTATGTGTCTACGAGAGGGAACAGGGCGACGGGACAGACAAGGGAGAGTTGAACGTAGGGGAGGGGAAGTCAGTGATGAGAAGAGAGCTGATACGAAGCGAGCCTTACAGTGTGGTTAGATTCCGGAGGGTGCCGAGGCTTCTAGGCAGAGAGCCGTTGAACTGGTTGTTGGCGAAGCGACTGGTGGGGGAGGGGAGGAGGGGGAGGGGGAGGGGGAAACACGAGCAGACTGAAACGGTTGATACGCGACGGAGGAGGAGGAGAGTGCCGAGGCTTCTATGCAGAGGCCCGTTGAACTGGTTGCTGGCGAAGCGACTGGTGGGGGAGGGGAGGAGGGGAAGGAAGAGACACGAGCAGAATGTTGAGCAGCACACAGAGAGTGAGGGAAGCACAGACAGAGGCAGCAGCACACACAGAGGCAGCAGCTCATACAATTCAAAGAGCTACTCACATTTCAAAGAGCTACGCACATTTCAACAAGCCGTGAGAGCAGTGGCGCCATCCAGTCCGGGATAGGTCCCTCCAGCTGATTCGCCTCAAACGACCTGACCACAAGAAGATGCACGCATGCACGCACACATGTACACACATGGGAATGCACAGGCACACATGAAAGCCCATTCACATGTATGATGAGAGTATATGTGTAAACATGTGTATGCCAACGTGCTAGTCTTGGCTTTTCTTGGTGACAGACAGCCATGACTGAAAAGGCAGTTTCAGCAGATAGTGTGTGTGCAACAAATGAGCATTCTGCACCTACCAGGAAGATGAGACTGTAGCCATAAAAGAAGCGCCTTAAAAAGAGACGCAAGGCGCTGTAAGAATGGGAGCTGAGAAAAAGGGCCCTTAGGAGAGGGGCCATAAAAAGAGGCAATTGTATGAGTGGATGGGATGGGACTAACAGGAAAGTGAGGCTGTTGAGAGAGCCAAGGTCCTTGGGAATGGGGCCAGTCAGAGAATTGTAGCCCAGATTTCTGCATTGAAAACAGGAGGAAGGCAGGAGGGACAGGGTCTAGGGTTTTAAGGAGCAAAGGAAAATAAGGCACAAAGGGTTGATACTCGTGGTAGTCACTCTGGTACGCAGGCCTCTCCAACCTCCCTGGCTACTTCGCTACCTCCCTCTCTCTACACTCACTACTAGCTTGATATTGCCAATCCAAAGAACTCATTTTCCTGCAATTTACACGCCCTTCTCGTCTCCAAGCATGTTCAGAAGCGAAGAAACACAAGGCGCAAGCAAGCCCCCATGGATACTGACCTGCATGTGAACACCACCTGCCTGTCCCCTCAAAACCCAGAACCTCCGCCTCAAACCCTAACTCTCAGCCTCCATAAAGCAATGCATCAAAGTCAAGTCGTAACCCAACGCATCAACGCCCGTAAATGTGCAAAGTTTCTCCGGCCTAAAACCTAACGCGTGCCACCAGGCACTGGCTAAAGAAAACTAAATTTGCCAAAATCCGAGCCTCTGGCCTGAACCACATGATAATGTATCGGTTTTGAAACGTCTCAAAACCAAATTATTACTACCCTAAGGCCTAAGGTGCCACCAGGCAGGCACTGGCTAAATGTGAAGCTCAGCGTGCCAAGAATCGAGCCCCTAGCCTGAAGCTCTTCAGTCTTGAAGCTCCCCCAGCCCCAAACCCTAATCTCCCTGCTGGCCGCCCCATGAACCCAAAGCAGTAAGACAACCCTAATTCCACAGATTCCACCACCAGGCAGTGATGGCTTAACGAAACCCTGTCGGGCCAAGACTCGAACCCCTGGCTTGAAGCTCTTCAAGTCTTGGAGCTCCAGCCTCGACCCCTCAACCGAAACCCTGTTCTCTCACCCTGCCTGCTGCTGCAGAACCCAAGCCTCAAAACCTTCTCTCCTAAAGACAAAAGCGTGCACTACTCACAGGCGCTCTAACGCATCCAGCTGCGCCAGCTGTCGGCCTGGGATTGACCCTTTGAGCAGCTCGTTGGCGAGATTGCTGCAAGTGGGAAAGGGGTAGCAGAAAGGGGGGTGAATTGTAGACAAGGAGCAGGTGAAGCACGAATAAGGGGCACTACACCGGGGATGGCAGCATCTGGGAACGAGTTCTGAGAGGCCTCACGAGTTCCAAGGGCCATCAGTAGGGAACACCTTGATTGGACGGAAGGATGAGCATCCAGCCGGGCCAGCTGTCATCCTGGGATTGGCTCTTTCAGGAGCTCGTTCGCCAGATGATAGCACGGGCAAAAAAAGTGATAGCAGGAGGGGGAAGGGAGATAGCAGAGCCCCACACCACGCCCCCTCTAAAACATTCTAATGTGCTCAGAATCCGGCCATGCTTGTTGGACTTGATTCTCTCCTGCCACTCTGCACTGCATGGTCGATGTCATCTGGGAAGGACTGCAGTGAGTCGCTCCTTTCTCCCCACGCCCCCCCTCCTTTTCAACCCAACGTGCTCGCAGCTCAATGATTCGGCCATGCTCGTTGCGATTTTTTCTCTCCTGCCACTCTGCGCTGCACAGGTCGATGTCGTCTGGAAAGGACTGCAGTCACTCACACCACACCATCCCTCTTTCCCTCCCCCCCTTTTTCCCCCTCAACCCAACATGCTCGGTGCTCACAGCTCTATGATTCGGCCATGCTCGTTGCACTTGATCCTCTCCTGCCACTCCGCGCTGCACGGGTCGATGTCGTCTGGAAACGACTGCAAAGCCGCAGGATTGGACGCCATGAACGCCGCTTTGAGGTTCAACAGCTCCTCCGCTGCACAAGTGATGGGAGGAAGGGGAGAAACGCAAGGAATAGGGGGTTGGGGCTCTATATGGGTCGATGTTGTCTGGGAAGGACTGCAGCGCCGCGGGGTTTGACACCATGAATGCCGCCTTGAGGTTCAATAGCTCCTCCGCTGCATGCAGGAAGGGGGGGGGGGTTGGGGGGGGGGGGGGGGGGAAGGGGGGAAGGGCGGATGGAGGGGGGGGTTGAGGGGGAGGTCGGGGAAGGTGTGGGGAGGTGTAGGGAGGGGGTTGGGACACCACATGGGTCGATGTCATCTGGGAAGGACTGCAGTGCAGGGCCGCGGGGTTTGACGCCATGAACGCCGCCTTCAAGCTCCTCCGCTGGGGACGGAGGGCGGAGGGGGAAGACGGGGGGGAGAGGGAGGGGGGGAAGCGGGAAGGATTTGGGGTGGAGAAGGAGGGGGCGTTGAGGGGAGGAGGTGGGGGATGGAAGAAGGGAAATGTGTACAGGGTAGATTGAGTGATGTTTCATGACACTGTGCGTTGGTACCATGCGAGCTGTCCGACACGTTCCTATTTACATACAAAACATGGAATTTGGGCAATAGGAATTGCTGTCGTTGCTTATAGCGAGTACAGCGGCAAGGGGTTTTTTTTGGCGCTTCAACAAACGCTGTCACGTCCCTAGATACAACACAATGGAAAATAGGACTCACTGTCAGGGCTGGCGAGGGCTGCAGGGATGAAAGCGACTGTCGTTAGCCACGTCACGAGCCATAGAGCCACCAGCAGCACATGCGCTGACGCCATCGCCGTAGCTGGCTTTCGACGGAAGTGATGCGTTCTGTTTCGTTCTTGTGTCGATGATGCTTGTAACGCGGACGTCGAATGTGTAGAGGATAGGTTTCCCCCAGTTATTGAGCTGGCCATCGGCTTAAATAGGACTGTAGCGCGGGTTCAGTCGTAAGAAGAAAGACGAAGTATATTCAGGCGAGAGTGAATTTCTGCAGGAAATAAGGGTACCTGAAATTACGTTGATAGAGGGGAGAGGGGAATTTGTCGACGACCCAAGAACGAAAGAAGAAACCACCAGCGCACCGAAGAAAATGACAAAGATTTGTTGTCAAATGGAGCTGAGTTCTAACGTGCCCCAATCTCGGGTTTGCTGTGTGATATTCTTAAAGAAAAAAACTGCTTCAAAATGCCGCGGCGCACGCCATTTTTAGGGAAGCGCAAAGTTTTGGCGTGCAGCAGGTAGCATGGGGATGCTGAGGGGGAAGACATTGAAGAGTCTTTCAATATGCAGTGCAGACATACCCTTCATATCTACTGAATCTTCAGGTTCGCAAACAAAAGTAAACATTCTCAATGCCGTGAGTCATTTACAAGACTCTCTAGAGGCGTATTCATATACAGTGGATTTAACAAGTACTAAAGAACACGCTCTTTTGTGATGCGCCGATTAACGCTGGATATGCAATGCGGAGTTTATCAGCAGGATGTTGATTCTGCCATGGTCAAGTGTAGTATTCTTAGTGCGTCTGCTCTACTTTTAAAGTAATTACCTAACGACGTGAAGCGCGAAGAAGCTTACCTGGCTATTGCCGTCTCATGCGGGACTTCGACAAGGCGGCATTACGCGCGACGGCAGCGAAAGTATGACGGCCAGGATACCCGCATTGAGGAAAATGTCGATTACCAATATTCAGTGTCATACGCAGCCAACAACGGGAGCGAAATGCAGCAGAAGCTCGAGCCTACCGTATAATGCGGCCGAGATGAGCGGGAAATGATACTGCAATGAGAACACGGGCTAGATGAAGACCACTGAAAGTAGGTAATGCGGCATAACCTAACGAATAACCTCACTAAACGAGTCCACCAACGAAGCGTGAAGACTAACGAAACTCGAGATTTGAACCCAGTCTACTGAATAATGCGTACGAGACTCATCCCTGCTACTTCTATTCCAGCCACAAGACCGAAGCACCTACCAGAATATCCGAGCTTGCAGATATGGCTGAACAACATCCAAATTCCTTCTGAATCCTCTCCTCCCCTTCGACATCGAGGCGTGTCCAAGAGTTATCCTCGTCTTTATCGTACCCAATCGTTACTAACTCTGAACAAGCCTTTCTGTCCATCTACCCAACCGCTTTGAATCCAACTTCCTTCAAGTCAACCTTTAGGCGCGACTTCACCAACCAGCCATCAGCAGCAGGCCCCTCAACCTCACCTCGACTCCCGCAGATGGGGCGAGGTGAGGTGAGGTGAGGTGAGCGGAGGAGCCAGGCCAGCCACTGTTGTCGGGTCAGGAGGGGTGGGCGGAGGAAGCGCAAGGGACCCACCAAGCGCCAGTTCTGTACGGTACTGGTGTGCGCGCCTGGCGGGGCGCAAGAGGGTAATCGCTAGTGCGGCGGCAGTGTGTTTTCTATTTCTGCCCCTCGCCCAACAAACTTCTCTTCTCTGGTAGAGTCCGGCAGGGCGAGGAGCCCTGCTGCCGTGCAATGACCATCTGACGAATATATCTCAGCGGACAAGCGAGTCCGCCCGGGGGAGCTCGCTGCCCGCGGGCAAAAAAAAACCCATTCGGGCATGCATCCGGTCAGGGAGGCATCAACCCTAAACACAGGGAGGCATGGATTTAGGGTTGATGCCTCCCTCGGATGGCATGCCATCCGATAGGGTTCTGCCCGGGGCAGCATGTCGTCAAGTCGTCAATGGGTCGTCAGGCTTGATCCATTTCTGCTGGGATATTCCGGTTCGACTGGGATGCTTGGTGAAGGGGAGTGTGGGGGGCCAGTGTAGTTTGTCAACGACAAATCTGGTCTCCACACCAAACCTTTGAACTGGTCTGGCAACAACACATCGTACACCAGAAAACAGCACGGCTACGACTCCGAGCTTCATTTACAGGTTCGGCTGCCATGAGCACGGTTTTTGATTGGGTGAGACGAACCCTAACCTGCACTCCCCCGTGGTTTCTTCCGAGCAAGGCAAGCTGGCAAAGAGCTGTCAAGTACATCGATATTGCGTATTCCACTGAAAACGTATAGTGTCTGACGCAATTACACCCGTTCAATATTTTCATAGAATTTGGTTGCGGCCGCGGAACACGTCATCACCATCCCAGGGCCCTACTGTACCGTTGACATGGGAGGGCAAACGCCCCCTCGCAACTTTACCCCAGACTAGACCAGACTAACTGCATAGAACACGACACGTAATCCTACTGCAAGGTAAGCAACCAATCCGATATCGCCAAGCACGGAACAATGTCCACAAACTCGGCGAGCCAGGTTTCCCGCCAAACCACTGACAGCAAAAAATCCGCACAAATGGCTTCGCGGCCGGATCTCTTTACACTGCCCAAGCTACACACAACCCAAGCCTGGAAGAAACACCAATGGCGAGCAATTTCCATGACAGCAGCGATTCTCAAGGGCGACAGCAATTTTCGAGGGCGGCAAAAATAGTCCCACGCCAAATTCCTCCTGAATCACTAAAGAACTGTGCGTGAGATAACATGTGCGTGCTAAACGTCAAGCACACCACACCACAACACACCACAGCACACCACAATACATAACATTGCAGCTCAGCGCGCTTGTGCTCATTGCGCTTTGTTCCTCTTGCTGGTGCCGCTCCTTGTTGTTTTCACCTGCAGAAAATCCGGCAGCAGCACCCACGAGCCCAGCCCCCGCTCCTCCTCCTCCTCCTCCTCCTCCTCCTCCTCCTCCTCCTCCTCCTCCTCCTCCTCCTCCTCCTCCTCCTCCTGCTGCTCCTGCACCATCCGATCCCACCTCTCACCAGGGCCCTTGTGCTGATTGCGTGTGTTCCCTCCTGCTCTCACTGCTGTTGCTGTTTTCCCTCTTCAGATCCTTCTTCTGGTGCTGAAGCACCCACAAGCCCAGCCCCCACTCCTGCTGCTGCTCCAGCACTATCCACTCCTCGCCCACCTCTTGCCAGGGCCCTTTCATTGCATCCTTCCCCTCTTGCTCACACTGGCGATGTTTTTTTCCCTCTGCAGGTCCTTCTTCAGGTGCAGCAGCACCCACGAGCCCGGCCCCCTCTCCTCCTCCTCCTGCCCCATCCTCACCCACCTCTCGCCAGGGCCCTTGAGCTCATTGAATCTTTTCCCTCCTGCTTTCACTGCTGTTGCTGTTTTACTCTGCAGATCCTTCTTCAGCTGCAGCACCCACGAGCCCTTCCCCCGCTCCTCCTGTGGCTGCTGCAGCAGCCTCAGAAGCGCGATAGTGCTCATTGCGTGTTTTTCCCTCTTCCCGGCAATGCTGTTGTTGTTTTCACCTGCAGCTACAGCAGCACCCACGAGCCCAGCCCCCTCTCCTACTGCAGCTGCTGCAGCATCCTTGTCCACTCCTCGCCAGGGATTCATCTTTTGAATTGCTGTGGGGGCCGCAGCGCTGCTGCTGCTGGGTGGCCTTGGCCTCTACCTCTGGTTCCGCTGCTCCTCCAGAGGTGGGTGTGTGTGTGTTAGCGCGAGTGGGTGTGAATGTGTGGTACCAGAACCGCTCCTACTCCTGCTGCTGCTCCATCCACGCCCACTACTCGCCAGGGATTCATCATTGAAATTGCTGTGGGGGCCGCAGCGCTGCTGCTGCTGGGTGCCCTTGGCCTCTACCTCTGGTTCCGCTGCTCCTCCAGAGGTGGGTGTGTGTGTGTAAGAGTGTAATGTGTGAGTGTGTGTGGTACCAGCATGTTTGTTCCATCCTCCTCCGTTCACCCCGTCCTACTCGTGCCGATACCCTGTGCCTTGTGCCCTGTGCTGCCAAGCCCTATCAACAGAGCATTTCGAGTCAGGCCCTCATGTGTCGACGCTACTCTCAGCTGCAAGTGAAAAGCATCTGTGCCCCGCTCTCCTCCCTGCACCCTCCCATCCCTCCCCTTCTTCCTCGTACCCTTGCCTCTGTGCAAGCAAGCCCGACCATCATTCCATTCCAAGCCAGATTCTCATGAGTCGGCGCTACTCTCTCGACCAAGTCAAGAAGGCGACGGGGGGATGGGCGGAGGCGAATCACATTGGAGCAAAGTTCGTACCCACTACCCCCCCATTGCCTGTGCTTTGTGTGCATGCAGGCAAGGCTGAATCTCCTCCCATCCCGAGCCAGATTCTCATGTGCCAGCGCTACTCCCTCGAGCAAGTCAAGAAAATGTGTGCCCCACCCTCCTCCCTGCACCCTCCTGCCCTCCCCGCTTCTCTTCACCCTTCCCCTGTGCTCCCTGTACAGGCAAGTCCGAGGCTCCTCCCATCCCAAGCCAGATTCTCATGTGTCGGCGCTACTCTCTCGACCAAGTCAAGAAGGCAACAGGGGGATGGGCCGAGGCGAATCATATCGGGACGGGCGGGTATGGCGAGGTGTATAAGGGGGTGTGCCCGTTTGATGACTCGGTGGTGTGGGCTGTGAAGCGTGCCAAGATACTCACCAACGACTTCAAGCGAGAGGTATTTGGTGTGGTGTGGTGGGGTGTGGTGCGGTGTGGTGTGGGGTATGAAGCTGTTGGGTGTGCTGGTGTAGGATGGGATGGGTGCATCACCAGGGAGTGCCTTTTTGGTGGTGTGGGCTGTGAAGCGCGCCAAGACACGCACGAATGACTTCAAACTAGACGTGTGGGTTTGTGTGTGGTGTTTTGTGGTAGGGTGTGGTGTGGTGTGGTGTGGGGTATGAAGCGGTTGAGTGCACTGTTGTAGGATGGGATGGGCTTAGCGAGGAATGTCCCTTTGTGTACCCGTCGGTGGTGTGGGCTGTGAAGCGCGCCAAGATACTCACGAATGACTTCAAGCGAGAGGTGGGGTGGGGTGGGGTGGGGTGGGGTGGGGTGGCTTGGGATGGGGTGTGGTGTGGTGTGGTGTGGGGTATGAAGTGGTTGACTGCGGTGGTTGAGGATGGGATTTGTGTATCGAGAGTGCTGACGTGGCATGGCAGGTCACATTTTCCCACCTGTGTTGCTCTTTCTTTCTTTTTGTTCTCGTTCATTTCCTTTCCCCATGCAAGTGGGCGAGATGGCATCAAAGAGGCACAATAGTCTCACGAGTTCACTGCCCGCCACGCCTTTCTTGTCACAGGAAAAAAGAGACTCGACCCAGATCCAGCAGGCAAAACTCGTTCTAAAATCCACTATTTACTCTTTGAAAGAGGAGCAATAGTCTCACGAGTTCACTGCCTGCCACGTCTTTCTTTCCTCTTCCCTTCATTCCTCATGCAGGTGGAGGAAATGGCAACAAAGAGCCATCCACACTTGGTGCGGCTGCTGGGGTACTGTGTGGACATGGATATGACAACAGAGCACCACGAGCAGATTGTTATTTATGAGTTCTGCGCCAATGGGGACCTCGAGAAGTATCTACATGGAGGTGAGTGGAGAGGTGCGATAAGATTTAATGTGTGGTGAACTTTTACATAGAATGTAAATGTTCAAATATATTATTTGTAATTATTAAGTATAGATATACACATAATAATACTATACATGTGTGTTTATGTGTATAAAGAATTTTATGTACATATGCACATATATATATGTATATTGAAAGTGAAAGATGCATATAGAATGCATAAATTTAGATGACAATACATTTACATGTGCATATATGTACATATAGAAAAACATGAATACATACATATATATAATTATATATATATATCATATACGTCCGTATCCGTGTGTATAGATCGCCTTGTGTCTATGGCAGGTGCTCGGGAGCAGCAGCGCATGGATGTGCTGGTGGGGTGGCACCACCATGTAGGCTTATTCAACTCACATTGAGGCCTCCTTCTTGGTGGGCCTTGCCTTTCCTTACCACAGGTGCTCGGGAGGGCGAGCTGACGCTGCAGCAGCGCATGGATGTGCTGGTGGGGGTGGCGCGGGGGTTGGAGTACCTCCACCAGTTTGACATCGTGCATCGAGACATCAAGCCCGCCAACGTGCTGCTCGACGCCCGCATGCAGGTAAGAGTGATTGGTATGGACGAATTCGAGTCCTCTGGCTCTGATACCACTTGTTGTGAGCTTTGGGACTGGGACTCGAACCCGAGACCTTTGGCTTTGATGTGTGGTGAGCTGCTTGACAAGGGAGTGCATGATTTTGGCATCTCCCCTTCAATTGCGTGCATCAACGATCTTCCATCCCTCTACCCTGCCCACCTCCCACAGCCGAGGGTGTCGGAGTTTGGGCTGGTGCGTATGAAGGAGTCACATCTGCCATTATTCCTCCTCTTTTCCACCTCCCCACCCCCCACCAGCCAAAGGTATCGGACTTTGGGTTGGTGCGCATGACAGAAGGCACCACAGTGAATCCCACCCGAGTGGTCGGCACTCCGGGCTATGTGGACCCGGCTTACTCGCGCACCAACAAGGCCACGCCCATGGCTGACGTGCACAGGTGGGTGTTCGAGGCAAGAGCAGAAATAACAGTAGCAAGGTCACTGATGTGCACAGGTGGGAATGCTGAAGCCACTGTGATCGTGCTGGTGCACCAAACAATAATGTTCCAATCCCCCATATGCTTCCCTTCTTCCCACTGCAGCTACGGTGAGCTGCTATTGGAGGTGATAACGCTGAAGCCCCTTTAATTGTGTTGCTGTACTGGAAAATAACGATGAAGTCGTCTCTTACATAGTTTGTTTCCCCCATGTGCTTCTCTTCCCACTGCAGCTACGGTGTGCTGCTACTGGAGGTGATAACGCTGAAGCCAGTCATCCTATCGATCAACGGCGGGCAGTTCAACATCAAGGACTGGGTACGTATGTGCATGCATGTGAATCAGCACTTTTATGTATGTGCATTGGTGCGTGGGCGTACCTTCCACAGAACTCACATTTTGCTGATGGCGGGCAGTTCAACATCAAGGACTGGGTACGTGTGTGCGGCAGCATTCAAGGACCTTCTTCCTCACTCACTCTGCTCTCCACATCATCGTTCTTCGCTTCTTATTGACCCATCGTCCCACCTTCCCTTGTCTCAGGTTCGGCCATTCATGGAGGAGAGCAAGGTAGCAGCATTCAAGGACCCCCTCCTTCCAGAAGCTTCCGACGATCTCATTCTCACTCTCGCCAAGATCGGCCTGCAGTGCACCGCCCTCCCGGCCTCCTCTCGACCCAGCATGTCTGAAATTTCCCGCCAGCTCGACACCCTTAGAAAGGACTACTTTCGGAGGAGCAGCATGGACGGCGACGGCCCAGATTCTGCTGACGTGGACCAACGACTGGCTAAGATTGACCAGGAGCTTGACAGGCGGGCGGAATCGGGATTGTCGATCCAAGCAGAGTTTGTTCGGCTGAATATTATGTCGGAAAGCGGGGAGTATATTAAGGAGACGGAGATTTCTGCTGCTACTGGTGGTTACTCCAATCGTTCTTCAGGAGTGATGCTGCTGCAGTCTCAGGAGATTTCCCAGGAGTTCTGTCAGGAGATTCCCAGTGGCAGGTGACAGACTACCAGCAACATGTGTTGCATTTTCTTCTCTTTTACTTTTGCAACGTTTCTGAAGTGTACCCTACTTCGTATGTCAGGTTTCTGTACTGATTGTAACGAGTATATCATGTGGGAACCTATAGCTTACTCCTAAAAAAACTGTGAATACAGCATATGGTTTATTCATTGGACATGTATGTAAGAGCGTTTTTAGCTGGACTTCGAACTTCGGATTTTTATTTTGTGTGCCAAGTGTGCACATGACCAAGTTTAGTGTGGGAGAAATAAAGCACATGAGGCGAAAGCATGAACATTGGTGTACAACAAATCCTATGCTCTGCTACACTGAGGCGGTTATCTCAAGTTCCCCGAGCATCATGACTCGACTCCCTTCCCCCACAGCTGTACTGGTCAGTGCCATCATGCCCTGTGATGTTCCCATGGTCACTCTCACTTCTTGGCAGCAGGTGCAGTCTCGGCCGCAGAAGGCTCCTGAACACCCTGTTGAGGATAATGCAGAGAATGGGAAAGAAAAATGTGAAGAGACGACGAGGGGAGGCGTTGGAAGGGATGGGGAGGAATGGGAGGGATGCGGAGGGGGAACGGGAAGGGGGAATGGGGAGGGGAGATAGGGTAGTAGAGGAGGAGAAAAAAAGAGGCTCAACACCAACTTGTATCACAAATATTGGTCACTAACCCTTCTCTTCCCTTCCGCCTCCATTCAACTGCACAAACCGCTCCTCCCATCCCAAAAATCGTTCAAAAACACCAAACACCTTCCTCTTTGAAAGCCTTCCTCTCGGCGCAGCATGCCCCACCCAGACCAACCTTCTACAACCACCTAAACAACCGCTTCTGTCAGATTTTCCAAACCCCGAACTCTTCCGCTCAACTTCCCCCTCTCCCTTCCCCTCTCCTCTTCCCAACATCCCTTCCCCTTGAGCTTGTTCTTGTACACGCTGCTCCAAACCGCACTCAACCACTCACAAACCGCCACGCACCGCACACTTACAACAGCCCGCCCTGCACCGCACTCAACCATTCACATCAGCCCCGTATTGCACTCAGCCGTTCACAACCGCCCCCCACCGCACTCAACCCACTCTCACCTGCGCCAACCGCTCCTCCCGCCGCGCCATCTTGCGCTCCCTGGACGGCTTGCTCTTGGCGCGGCGCGCCTCGAACTGATCCGTGAGCGTCTTCTCGCGAACCTTCTCCGCCTTGAGCTTGTGAATGCTCTCCATGAGCACGCGCTTGTTCTTGTACACATCGCCAGGAAGCGCACTCAACCGCTCATAACCCGCCCTGCAACGCACTCAATCACTCCCAACCACCACTCCACCGCACTCAACCACTAACAACCGCCCTGCACGGCACCCAACCCATTCTCACCTGCGCCAACCGCTCTTCCCGCCGCGCCATCTTCCGCTCGCGCGACGCCTTGCTCTTGGCGCGGCGCGCCTCGAACTGGTCGGTGAGCGTCTTCTCGCGAACCTTCTCCGCCTTGAGCTTGTGAATGCTCTCCATGAGCACGCGCTTGTTCTTGTACACGCCACCCTTGACCTTCATGTACAGCTCGTGGTACAGGTGCTTGTCGATCTTCTTCGCCTCGCGATAGCGCTTCAGCATGCGCCGCAGCACGCGCATGCGCCTCAGCCAGAGCACCTTCGTGGGGAGACGCGCCTCGCGGGTACCGCGGCGCTTACCTGGAGATTGGCAAAGAATGGAAGAAGGAAAGGGAGGAGTTCAGGGGAATAGGCGGGGAAGGGGGGAGTAGGTGGGGAGGGGAGGGGGCGGCGGGGAGGAGAGCCGGGACAGTAGGAAGAGGGGAATGATTTGGAAAATAATGTCCGTTCCTGTCACGCGCCGAACGTACTCTTCGACAAACAATGCCACCCACACTCGTAAATGTGGGTCTAATTTTTCTTTTCTCTGCAGAACTCCACACTACACTAGAACTTCAAAGGGAACGTCGAAACTTGAAGCGATCTGCCCGCTGGAACATCGTGACGACCTCACTGTGAAAGGATTGAACGCTACGCTTGGCTGGATTTCGCCAAAAGCTCCACTATGTTACATCCTTAAGCGCCGTTGGCGAGCGCCGTTAAAGTCGCCGCTGACAGCCCCGTTAAAGTCGCCGCTGGCAGCGCCGTTAAGTCACCGCTGGCAGAGCTGTTAAAGCCGCCGCTGGCAGCGCCGTTGGACAGCGACGCTCGAATTCCATAAGTAACGCCACGATCGCTTAGGGGGACACTCTCCTAAGGAACCTTCTACTGCACCCTACGTTAGATCGCTTCAGCTCCACCCATCCCCTCGCCGAACAATCTGCTGCACCGCCTGGCGGAAACTTGGTCCAAATCCTTTTCTTCCAGATAGAAAAATCTGACCGTTAGCATGTTTGTTATCAGTAGAGATTCGGAAAGCAGTCTACTTGATGGTGAAAGAAAAAGCCTAGGCGCATTCTATCAAACCTGATCTCTCGTATCTCCAGTCAAAACTCGAGGGGGGTCCGTAGGTCCCACGCAGTTCTAGGGCCCGATCTGAGACGGTTCAGCACTCTCCTAAGAAACCCTAAATTCTGATCTGAGACGGCTCAAAACTCTGCTGCGCAGCCCTAGGGTCCGTGAGCCGTTCACCGTTGACGGCGCGCCGGTGTGATAAGCCCGTCTATCGTTACTGTAGCCTCTGTACTTGAGCCGGTTTGTAAGCCCTTCCGTTTCACGAGAAAATTCGCGCGCGTCTCCCGATTAAATCACCGTCACCAATCACTACCGGAACTGTCGCCGTCACCATGAACACTGTCACTGTATACGACTAGACGTCTGTCCTTGTCAATCCCTATCATAGCTTCCTCTTAGCCTCGAGCCGCCAGCAAAAGCTGAAGGTAGTTCGAGAAATACAATACAAACAAAAAAAAAAACATGTGTACTCAGAAATCCCGAATCCTTACCGTGGCCAGTGTGGCGGCCCTTCCTCTTGGCCTCGAGCAGGCGGCGCGCGCGGAAGCGCGAGTGGATCTTCTGCGGCTTGCGGATAATGAAGCCGTCCTTCACGAGCTTGCGGATGTTTTGCCCTGAAGGGGGAGGAGCGGGGGAAGAAGGGATAGGGTGAATGGGGAGGGGGGGACCGGGTGGTGGGGGGGGAGGAGGGGAGAGGAAGCGGGAAGGAGAGGGGGAATGGGAGGTGAGATTAGAGGGAAGGATTGCTTTTTGCGGATGATAAAGCCGTCCTTCACGAGCTTGCGGATGTTTCGCACTCAAGAGGAAACCGGGGGGGGCGGGGGAAAGGGGAGGGGGGGAGGGGGGAAGTAGGGGGTGGGGTAAGAGCTCGGTCGGATTCCTTCAATTAACGAATCAGCTTCACAGTAGAAAGTCATAAATGGTTAGCTTCCGGGTGTCTCGTCACGCGCGAGCGGACGAAAGCAAGACTTTCAAAGAGGAAACATTGATTCGCAACGTCAACCCTACGGAAATTCTCAGAACGCAGAAGAACAAAAGCGGAACACAATCGCGATTGCCAGCGAAACACAGTTGGAGAAATGCGGTGCATGGGCAAAGGCAAGGCTGGCTTGGTGCCGCGGATCCCGAAAACGAATGCTACAAGCATAAGTCGAGAACGGCGCTATATGTAACCGGAAACTGGCTGGAAAAGGATAGCAGCGCATAGTCCCATCTTCCTAACGAAATGAAGCGGAAATCATGAGTGAGGATGAAGCTAGGGTAAAGCGACGAAAAGCTAGGGCGAGGCGAGGCGACGCACTGGAGTTGGCCATGGAGATCTCGTTGACTTCATTGGGATCCATCCACACCTATTCGAACGTTCATTTGGTTCACTGGAGTCCGGGAAACGAATGCTACAAACATGACGGTGAAGCGACGCGAGAGGAGCGATGAGGGTGCGGCGAGTGGAGAGAGGTTACGCACTGGAGTTGGCCATGGAGATTTCGTTGACTTCATTGGGATCCATCCACACCTTGTTCCGCCCGCAGTTAAGCACGCTCGAAGCGAGCCGCTTCTGAAGCTTAAGCGACACCATGGCTGCTGCGTTGTCTTCAGCTAGGTAACGATGTTGGGAAACGGACTAACCCTAAGACGAGCGAGACGGCCTTAGGAGCCGGAAAAGAGGAGGCGAAAAAGAGGTAAGCGTAGTTACTTACACCCAAGCAAGGAAGCAGAACGGGGAGGAGGGGAGCGGGGGGGAAGAAGGAAGGCAGGGTGGGGGCGCGAGAGAAGGGGGGGAAAAGGGAGCAGGAGGAAAGTTGAGAGGGGGAAGGGGAAACCGGGGGAGGAGCGCGCAAGGAAATGTTTCGATAATGGCGGAAATGGCGAAGGGGAGGCGGCGATGGGACTGTAAGTGGAGCAAAACAATCCGCTGGCAGTGGGAACGGCACACCTTGAGAGCGGCGGAAGGAGGTCACTGGCGGAATACTGTACTCGGTTTTGCGAAATTGGTAGCAAAAGCGGCGAATTTTGTAATGGAAGGGACTTGCTTACGGTGGTCAGCCACCGAGGGGAAGGAGGTCATGCAAACTCCCGCTGTAGTTACTTTCGAGACACGTTTCGCGAGCCCAGAAAGGATGTCGCGTGCCTCGCGCACACCTTGAGTGAGACGTAAGACCCGTTCGCTGAGATTCGGGGTTTTGGCACAGGGGGGGGTGTTTCCTTCCAGTACCCAATGGAGTGATTTGATAACATTTTTTCGCGAGAGTCTCCTACACTTCTGGTTGCGGGACTTTAAATATAGAACTACGGTATACTATTGCAAACTACTCAAGATCTAAAACTGGTTTCGACTAAAACCGGTGCTCTCCGCCTTCTCCGCCTTTAGGCGGCTATGGATTCTGCCGAGTCAATAACGGTCAACATCCTCGTTAGCATGCCTTCCGCATTATTTTGCTTCGGTTAATAGTATCGTCTTTAACGATCAACATGGAATACCAGTCATTTTTGCTGACCTTGGTTTCTCCAGTTATAAGGCGACAACTCGCGGATTTTATCAGGCATTCCCGGGGTTTCC